CATTTACAAAATGAAGCATGTGTGTTTAGTGAGTCCGCCAGATCAGCAGCAGTAGGGATGACCAGGAATGTTCTCTTGATAAGTGCGTGAATTGGACCTAACCAAAAATCTCCTTAATAGAACTTTTCTTAAAAAGAGGCTATAAGCCACTAGGCCATATCATTTGGCTTCATATCTATTTATTTAAACTGGAGTATTTCAAGTGTGTGTGTGTCTAACCATTCTGCTGTACATGCGGATAGGGATCAGTAGGTGGCATGATGTGGTGAGCACATAATGGGAGCCTACATTGAGAGAATCACAGAAGGATTGATGGAAAACGTGAGACGCGGTATACACTGCACGTAGTAGAGCAAATAATTGCCCCTCTTGTCAACAGTTTATTATTTACACAGCAAATTGTCCATTACAAAACAACCCAATGTTTGCCCATTCATCTCCATTAGGAATGGTAATATTAGCCGACAATGAGCTGAAAGAACACGAGCAGTGGAGTGCGATTAAATGGCAGCGTTGGTAATTAGTGTTGGGCATGCACCAAGGATTGACTAATTGTCTGTATTAGCGTTCTACCTACTCCAGAGAGTCATTAACAATGTAGATCAGGGAGAAATGATCTGCCGCTCCCCTCATCTCTGTGAAGAGTGCCTCGCTAATGACAGACATGTGGATAGTTTCCTGCAGAGTGCTACCACCGACACAGTAGGCTGTGTGTGGAAATCAAACAGAATACACATCAGAAATGGTTAGAGAAACAGCCATCGCAGAGCAAGACATGAGCCTTGATGTGTGACAAATGTGGACTAACAATATTTTAAGTGGTTTGTTGAGTGGTTGTTGAGGTCGTGATTAAAACGGATGTGTTGCGCGCTGCTCTGAAATGATGAACGCATATATGCACTATAGCAACACCGAGACATGAATAACACACGCTTCTTACTGTTGCAAAGAATTCATTTAATACAAATAGTCAACATGTTCATGACATTCCCAAGAGGGCAGAGGACAAAATAAGGAAAATCTGAATACCGATTGAGGTACGGGTCCTACATGATGGAGTCAGCAGGTAGCCTAGAGGTTAAGAGAGGTTGGGCTAGTAACCGAAAGGTTGCTAGTTCGAATCCCCGAGTCGACATGGTGAAAAATCTGTTCTGCCCTTGAGCAAGGTAGTTAAACCCACCACCCCCCACACAGCACCTCCCTGGACGCCCAACGTGGCAGCCCCCCCCCGGACCTCTCCAATTCAGAGGGGTTGGGTTAATAGCAGAAGTCATGTTTCGGTTGGACCTTGTGTGCAATTGATGATAAAAATACATTTATGTATGTACATAGGAGACAACCGGAGAAAACGTCGAACAGAGAAGGCAGGATTAGTAATAAATAGCACACGCAAGGTTTTGAAGTGGCCAAAAGTAGGGCACTATATAGGGTGCCATTTGAGATGCAGACATAGCTACAGGTCAACATGTATAGGTGCTGCCTGGATCTATTGCAGATATGGACTTAGGATCATGTGTACTAGGAACTATTTCAACAGTCTCTGACAAGGCATGCTCTCCAGCTACCTAATAGGAGCTGTTCAAGTTCTCACTTCCAGGTGACTATATGCTCATGTACAAAATGTAAATGAAAGGAGAATTGTACCTTTTCTCAATCTCACTATTGATCTTCTTCTCAAGCAGCGGAGAATATAAAAGCAGTCTAGACATCAGGGCCTGTATTCATAAAGCGTAGGGGGGCTGATCAGGATCAGATTAGACATCAGGGCCTGTATTCATAAAGCGTAGGAGGGCTGATCAGGATCAGATTAGACATCAGGGCCTGTATTCATAAAGCGTAGGGGGGCTGATCAGGATCAGATTAGACATCAGGGCCTGTATTCATAAAGCGTAGGAGGGCTGATCAGGATCAGATTAGACATCAGGGCCTGTATTCATAAAGTGTAGGAGGGCTGATCAGGATCGGATTAGCCTATCAGATTATAATGAAAGATTATAAGGGCAGAGGAAACTGATGCTTTATGAATACAGGCCCTGATCTTGTGTGGTGAAGACACTTTGTATCATTGGGTATTTTCACACGAAGATGAGCAAGTGTTATTTCTATTGTGGTTGTGATTATGGATGCATTGTTATCCTGAGTTAGGAGGCTATGCATTGCCATGAAACAGTTAACAGCCATGACACGTTCAAGTTGCAGCAGTTTGGGGGACAACTTCAGCATTGATTCATGATAGGCCTCCAAACAGACACACACAGGCGTGCAGTCATTGCTTTGACCAAATAAGAATTTAGGAAAACAGTCTTACAATGGGAAAATATGCATTTACATTTCACCAACCCTTGCTCAATACACTTGAATGTGAGAGGACATGCTATCTTGGACAAACAGTGAGTCGATGCATTCATCACATCGATTTAGAAGAAAATCTAAACAATTAGGAAATAAATGTTATTCGCCTCATGTGCAAGCAAGGCTAAAGGCTTTAGTCCATGGTAAGGTTAGAATGTAGTATACATTTGAGAATGTTTAAATAAGAAAACATATAATTTCATAAATACAAATAATCAAGTACTGTATTAGAGAACCTGCATTGCCTCTTTTTTGATCAGTCTTGTTTGGTGATCTCTAAGCTCTGGACTCTTTACCACAGGAAGAAACAGGGAGGGTCCATGTTAGTCATAAATAATACTTTACATACATACATATACATATTATAGAACATGTACAGTACCAGTCAAACGTTTGGACACACCTACTCATTCCAGGGTTTTTCTTTGTTTTTACTATTTTCTACATTGTAGAATAATAGTGAAGACATCAGAACTATGAAATAACACATGGAATCATGTAGTAACCAAAAAAAATTGTTAAAAACAAAATCAAAATATATTTTAGATTATTCAAATAGCCACCCTTTGTCTTGATGACAGCTTTGCACACTCTTGGCATTCTCTCAACCAGCTTCATGAGGTAGTCACCTGGAATGCATTTCCATTAAACAGGTGTGCCTTATTAAAAGTTAATTTGTGGAATTTCTTTCCTTCTTAATGCATTTGAGCCAATCAGTTGTGTTGTGACAAGGTAGGGGGGGGTTATACAGAAGATAGCCCTATTTGGTAAAAGACCAAGTCCATATTATGGAAAGAACAGCTCAAATAAGCAAAGAGAAATGACAGTCCATCATAACTTTAAGACATGAAGGACAGTCAATACGGAACATTAAGAACTTTTAAAGTTTCTTCAAGTGCAGTCGCAAAAAACAACAAGCGCTATGAAACTGGCTCTCATGAGGACCGCCACAGGAATGGAAGACCTAGAGTTACTTCTGCTGCAGAGGATAAGTTCATTAGAGTTACCAGCCTCAGAAATTGCAGCCCAAATAAATGCTTCACATAGTTCAAGTAACAGACAATTGCTGCAAAGAAACCACTACTAAAGGACACCAATAAGAAGAAGTGGAAATCTGTCCTTTGGTCTGGAGTCCAAATGTGAGATTTTTGGTTCAAACCGCCGTGTCTTTGTGAGACGCGGTGCGGGTGAACGGATGATCTCCGCATGTGTTGTTCCCACTGTGAAGCATGGAGGAGGAGGTGTGATGGTGCTTTGCTGGTGACACTCTCTGTGATTCATTTAGAATTGAAGGCACACTTAACCAGCATGGCTACCACAGCATTCTATAGCGATACGCCATCCCATCTGGTTTGGGCTTAGTGGGACTATCATTTGTTTTTCAACAGGACAATGACCCAACACACCTCCAGACTGAGTAAGGGCTATTTGACCAAGAAGGAGAGTGATAAGTGCTGCATCAGATGACCTCCACAATGTCCACGACCTCAACCCAATTGAGATGGTTTGGGATGAGTCGGACGGCAGAGTTAAGGAAAAGCAGCAAACAAGTGCTCAGCATATGTGGGAACTCCTTCAAGACTGTTGGTGAAGCTGGTTGAGAGTGCCAAGAGTGTGCAAAGCTGTCATCAAGGCAAAGGGTGGCTACTTTGAAGAATCTCAAATATAAAATATATTTTGATTTGTGTAACACTTTTTTGGTTACTACAGGATTCCATATGTGTTATTTCATAGTTTTGATGTCTTCACTATTATTTTACAATGTAGAAAATAGTCAAAATAAAGAAAAACCCTAGAATGAGTAGGTGTGTCCAAACTTTTGACTGGTACTGTATATGTATGCATATGAATGTAAATACAACATATGTACAAATTATGCACATGCCCTAAATGACTATTGCACTTTATGTAATAAAGTTGACTGTTGCTGATATCCAGTAGATTGAATAGCTTGTTTCGATATTTTCTCAGTGATTGGAGAGCAGAGCAGCTTTAAAGTTACAACCGCAGTAATCTCAGTGAATCATTGGGAGCTAAACAAGAGCCCCCTGCCCCCAGGAAACCCTCACACTATCACCGAGGGCCCAACTCCCTACCCCTCTCTGGGACACTAACCACCCACCCAGTGGGTGGAGAAACGGAGCTTAGACCTAGTTCCTCGGTCTGCTTTAGAGCCTCTATTGTTCAACTGACAGACTCAAACGTCTGGCTTCATGGTCAAAAATAAGGATTTCTTTGTTAAATAAATACAGTTCTTAGCTTTGTTAAAAAATGTAAAGAAATAAGAATCAAATGAAATAAAAACAAGTGAGATTAAAACACATCACTGTGGACATCCTGGTCAAGCAGCTTGGAAACATTCCCTCCCAGTTGGTACAGACAAAAAATAAATATCTAGATCTTTCTTTCTTTTTTGCAAAAACTAAAATATATATAAGGATTGTATGTTCTTTGCAGTTGTTCATAAAAAAAACAGTATAGTACCAACAAGTCCTCTTTTGAATATCTACAGTCGTACAATAGTCTTGCAAGTGAGTTCATGAAAAAATGCTATCGTTTTAGCATGTCAATTCGCATAAAAATGCCTCTTTACAGTCATTGGCTAAAAACTGTTATAATAAACAATACAAAAGGAAAGACAGCACTTGCTACTGACAGTCTTGTAAATGTGTCTTTACCTCTATGGCCTGCTTCACTATTTCAGCCAACTTCAAGCGATCCACTTTGTCAGTAAAGGCCCGTCCTACAATGAAGACCAAATAATTAAATGTTGGCCAAAACCAGATTTAAAATGAAAATGCCACCCTTTGTCAATCAAATTCATCATCTCCAACACCACCACAACATGTGAAAAACGGAGGGTTTCTATGTGTTGTAGTTATAAAAATAATAATGTTTCCGATGACATAATCCGGAGACAGATTTTAACCAACTATGAGCAAGCAAAGGTTACTAACTGATGAATTTGAATTTCCCTTTAACTAGGGGATTTTCCCCACAGTAATTAGTGTTGATGTATGTGCTAGGTGCCATTGCTCTGCATTGAATGCTGTATTTATGCAGTATGTTATGCCTACCGTCCCAGCTGAGGCCCTGCAGCCCGTCTCGCAGTAGTTTGCAGTCCCGGTTGAAACGCCACGCCTCATGCATCACCTCATTCAGCTTCTCATCCTCATTCTCTCCTGACACACACAACCAAACACACACAGTTACACCATGCCCACTGTGTGCCTGCATGTATGCATGTTAAATGGGAGTTGTACATCTGTATTGGTTGATGTGAAGTGTGTGTGTTTGTGTGTGGACTGACCAGCCTGTGGGAGGATACACTGAGCGATGACGTCTCGTAGTTTCTCCAGGGCCACGTTGGAGTCCTCGCCGCCGTTCTCTGGGTCGTGGATGAAGAAGCCGTCACTCTGCTTGCTGCTGTAGCACACACACAGGAGATACATACAGTTGAAGTCGGAAGTTTACATACACTTAGGTTGGAGTCATTAAAACTTGTTTTTCAACCACTCCACAAATTTCTTGTCCTAACCGACTTGCCAAAACTATAGTTTGTTAACATCTACTTTGTGCATGACAAGTAATTTTTCAAACAATTGTTTACAGAGATTATTTCACTTATAATTCACTGTATCACAATTCCAGTGGGTCAGACGTTTACATGTGTTGACTGTGCCTTTAAACAGCTTGGAAAATTCCAGAAAATGATGTCATGGCTTTAGAAGCTTCTGATAGGCTAATTGACATCATTTGAGTCAATTGGAGGTGTACCTGTGGATGTATTTCAAGGCCTACATTCAAACTCAGTGCCTCTTTGCTTGACATCATGGGAAAATCAAAAGAAATCAGCCAAGAACAAAAACATTGTAGACCTCCACAAGTATGGTTCATCCTTGGGAGCAATTTCCAAACGCCTGAAGGTACCACGTTCATCTGTACAAACAATAGTACTCAAGTATAAACACCATGGGACCCCGCAGCCGTCATACCGCTCAGGAAGGAGACGTGTTCTGTCTCCTAGAGATTAACGTACTTTGGTGCGAAAAGTGCAAATCAATCCCAGAACAACTGCAAAGCACCTTGTGAAGATGCTGGAGGAAACAGGTACAAAAGTTCCTATATCCACAGTAAAACAAGTCCTATATCGACATAACCTGAAAGGCCGCCATAAAAAACCCAGAGTACGGGTTTGCAACTGCACTTGGGGACAAAGATCGTACTTTTTGGAGAAATGTCCTCTGGTCTGATGAAACAAAAATAGAACTGTTTAGCCATAATGACCATTGTTATGTTTGGAGGAAAAAGGGGGTCGCTTGCAAGCCGAAGAACACCATCCCAACCGTGAAGCACGGGGTGGCAGCATCATGCTGTGGGGGTGCTTTGCTGCAGGAGGGACTGGTGCGCTTCACAAAATAGATGGCATCATGAGGAAGGAAAATTATGTGGATATATTGAAGCAACATCTCAAGACATCAGTCAGGAAGTTAAAGCTTGGTCGCAAATGGGTCTTCCAAATGGACAATGACCCCAAGCATACTTCCAAAGTTGTGGCAAAATGGCTTAAGGACAACAAAGTCAAGGTATTGGAGTGGCCATCACAAAGCCCTGACCTCAATCCTATAGAAAATGTGTGGGCAGAACTGAAAAAGCGTGTGCGAGCAAGGAGGCCTACAAACCTGACTCAGTTACACCAGCTCTGTCAGGAGGAATGGGCCAAAATTCACCCAACTTATTGTGGGAAGCTTGTGGAAGGCTACCCGAAATGTTTGACCCAAGTTAAACAATGTAAAGGCAATGCTACCAAATACTAATTGAGTGTATGTAAACTTCTGACCCACTGGGAATAAATCATTCTCTCTACTATTATTCTGACATTTCACATTCTTAAAATAAAGTGGTGATCCTAACTGACCTAAGACAGGGAATTTTTACTAGGATTAAATGTCAGGAATTGTGAAAAACTGAGTTTAAATGTATTTGGCTATGGTGTATGTAAACTTCCGACTTCAACTGTATAACAGACACCAACCCACAGGTGATACATTTACCAGACACCAACCCACACACACAGGAGATACATATACCAGACACCAACCCACACACACAGGAGATACATATACCAGACACCAACCCACACACACAGGAGATACATATACAGCGAGGGGAAAAAATATTTGATCCCCTGCTGATTTTGTACGTTTGCCCACTGACAAAGAAATGATCAGTCTATAATTTTAATGGTAGGTTTATTTGAACAGTTAGAGACAGAATAACAACAACAAAATCCAGAAAAATGCATGTCAAAAATTTTATAAATTGATTTGCATTTTAATGAGGGAAATAAGTATTTGACCCCCTCTCAATCAGAAAGATTTCTGGCTCCCAGGTGTCTTTTATACAGGTAACAAACTGAGATTAGGAGCACACTCTTAATGGGAGTGCTCCTAAGCTCAGCTTGTTACCTGTATAAAAGACACCTGTCCACAGAAGCAATCAATCAATCAGATTCCAAACTCTCCACCATGGCCAAGACCATGGCCAAGAGCTCTCCAAGGATATCAAGGACAAGATTGTAGACCTACACAAGGCTGTAATGGGCTACAAGACCATCGCCAAGCAGCTTGGTGAGAAGGTGACAACAGTTGGTGCGATTATTCGCAAATGGAAGAAACACAAAAGAACTGTAAATCTCCCTCGGCCTGGGGCTCCATGCAAGATCTCACCTCGTGGAGTTGCAATGATCATGAGAACGGTGAGGAATCAGCCCAGAACTACACGGGAGGATCTTGTCAATGATCTCAAGGCAGCTAGGACCATAGTCACCAAGAAAACAATTGGTAACACACTACGCCGTGAAGGACTGAAATCCTGCAGCGCCCGCAAGGTCCCCCTGCTCAAGAAAGCACATATACATGCCCGTCTGAAGTTTGCCAATGAACATCTGAATGATTCAGAGGAGAACTGGGTGAAAGTCTTGTGGTCAGATGAGACCAAAATGGAGCACTTTGACTCAACTCGCCGTGTTTGGAGGAGGAGGAATGCTGCCTATGACCCCAAGAACACCATCCCCACCGTCAAACATGGAGGTGGAAACATTATGCTTTGGGGGTGTTTTTCTGCTAAGGGGACAGGACAACTTCACCGCATCAAAGGGACGATGGACGGGGCCATGTACCATCAAATCTTGGGTGAGAACCTCCTTCCCTCAGCCAGGGCATTGAAAATGGGTCGTGGATGGGTATTCCAGCATGACAATGACCCAAAACACACAGCCAAGGCAACAAAGGAGTGGCTCAAGAAGAAGCACATTAAGGTCCTGGAGTGGCCTAGCCAGTCTCCAGACCTTAATCCCATAGAAAATCTGGGGAGGAAGCTGAAGGTTCGAGTTGCCAAACGTCAGCCTCGAAACCTTAATGACTCGGAGAAGATCTGCAAAGAGGAGTGGGACAAAATCCATCCTGAGATGTGTGCAAACCTGGTGGCCAACTACAAGAAACATCTGACCTCTGATTGCCAACAAGGGTTTTGCCACCAAGTACTAAGTCATGTTTTGCAGAGGGGTCAAATACTTATTTCCCTCATTAAAATGCAAATCAATTTATAACATTTTTGACATGCGTTTTTCTGGATTTTTTTGTTGTTATTCTGTCGCTCACTGTTCAAATAAACATACCATTAAAATCATAGACTGATCATTTCTTTGTCTGTGGGCAAACGTACAAAATCAGCAGGGGATCAAATACTTTTTTCCCCCTCACTGTACATATATCACACCCCAACACACACAGAAGATACATATACCAGACACCAACACAGGAAAAACAATAACCAGACACCAACACACACAGGACACAGACACCAACACACAAAGGAGATACATAGACCAGACACCAACACACAGGAGAAACATATACCAGACACCAACACACAGGAGAAACATATACCAGACACCAACACACATTCGGTTTAGCAGTGCTGTTCTCAGCAGAAAGTCCCTCTCCGCTATAGACAGCCAGACAATGTAAAGCAGATTCTAACCAACTACAAAATAGAGAGACCGAGACATTTAACAAGACAGACAGACCCTAGGAGCTTCCTTTTCCTCAGGATGGGGTTATTGACGGAGTTGAGTGGCTTGAGGCTGACGGTAAGGTCCTGTATCCTCATGTTAGCCAACTGTTCAGCATGGGCCTGCTGGATCCCTGCTACCACCGCCTGGCAGAGGGAGGGAGAGAGGGAAGGAGGAAGGGTCACATGGCAAAATGTTACACCCTGAACATTGCTATTAAAGGGTTACCTCAGGATTTTGGCAATGATCCTACTACTTCCCCAGAGTCAGATGAACTTGTGGACACCATTTTAATGTCTGCGTCCAGTATGAACAAAGTTAGAGGTAGTTTCGCGAGTCAATGCTAACTAGTGTTAGCGCAATGACTCGAAGTCTATGGTATCTGCTAGCGCTAGTTAGCAATTGCGCTAGTTAGCAACTTCCTTCAAACTGCACGCAGAGACAAAAATGGTATCCACGAGTTCATCTGACTCTGGGGAAGTAGATAAAGGGCCTCATTGCTAAAATCCTGAAGTATCCCTTTAAGGCAGCAAAGGTTTTGTCTGCAGTCCTGTAGTAAGTATGACTGGGTCTATCTAAAGCGCTTTGAGACTGACGGAAAAGAAAGTATTACATAAATGCTATCCATCCCAGTCTATCCATCCAGGCCCACCTTGTCCATCATCATCTGGGCGGAGGGCAGCACGTTGTCCAGCGCCTCTGTGCAGTTCAGCCAGGGGTGCTCCAGAACCCCCTCGATGGTCAGCCTCTCCTCAGGCTTCACCTTCAGCAGCCTACAGCGGGAGGGAGTAATGTTAGTGAAACAGATTCTTCTAACAATCCTCACTCAATCCAAAAGAATACAGCATGACTAAAGCACCGGTTTGGCAGTCCAAATTGATTTTGCCTGACAAACATCACTCGTGAACCATGCCATCGTGTTAGAACACACACAGTAAGGCCTGCTGTAGGGACGTACTTGCGGACAATGTCCTTGGCCATCTCAGAGATCTGGCTCCATTCGTCTTCGGGGAAGTCGAAGCTGGCAGTCATGATCTTCTTGCGCATGTCCTTGGGGATGGTGCGGCTGTGGTGCTTGGAGTAGAAGGGAGGGTAGCCACACAGCATCACGTAGATGATCACCCCAATGGACCACAGGTCACAGCTCTGCACACACAGCAAGGGACAGTGAACGAGCCAGGTCATAGGGAGGGAGAGGGAGAGAAAGGATAGGAGTTAGTGCGACACAACCCTACAAACACAGATGTCCTTAGTGGAAATATGTTGCATAATGTGGAAAGATGCTGGCAAGATATTTTTGGCAATCCATGGAATGGGGGGGTAGTAGTGGGTCTCCTTGTTATAATCTACACACAATACCCCATAATGTCAAAGCCAAAACAGGTTTTTAGAAATCTTTGCAAATATATATATATATAAAAAAAAGGAAATATCTTATTTACATAAGTATTCAGACTCGTTGCTATGCGACTTGTAATTGAGCTCAGATGCATCCTGTTTCCATCGATCATCCTTGAGATGTTTCTACAACTTGGAGTCCACCTGTGGTAAATTCAATTGATTGGACATGATTTGGAAAGGCGCATACACCTGTCTATATAAGGTCCCACAGTTGACAGTGCATGTCAGAGCAAAAACCAAGCCATGAGGTCGAAGGAATTATCCGTAGAGCTCCGAGACAGGATTGTGTCGAGGCACAGATCTGGGGAAGGGTACCAAAACATTTCTGCAGCATTGAACGTCCCCAAGAACACAGTGGCCTCCATCATTCTTAAATGGAAGACGTTTGGAACCATCAAGACCATTCCTAGAGCTGGCCACCCGGCCAATCTGAGCAATCAGGGAAGAAGGGCCTTGGTCTGGGAGGTGACTAAGAACCCAATGGCCACTCTGACAGAGCTCCAGAGTTCCTCTGTGGAGATGGGAGAACCTTCCAGAAGGACAACCATCTCTGCAGCACTCCACCAATCAGGCCTTTATGGTAGAGTGGCCAGATGGAAGCCACTCCTCAGTAAAAGGCACATGACAGCCCGCTTGGAGTTTAACCCAAGGCACCTAAAGGACTCTCAGACCATGATAAAACAAGATTCTCTGGTCTGATGAAACCAAGACTGAACTCTTTGGCCTGAATGCCAAGCGTGACGTCTGGAGGAAACCTGGCAACATCCCTACGGTGAAGCATGGTGGTGGCAGCATCATGCTGTGGGGATGTTTTTTAGTGGCAGGGACTGGGAGACTAGTCAAGAGCGAGGGAATGATGAACGGTACAAGGTACAGAGAGATCCTTGATGAAAACCTGCTCAGGACCTCAGACTGGGGCGAAGGTTCACCTTCCAACAGGACAACGACCCTTAGCACACAGCCAAGAAAATGCAGGAGTGGCTTCGGGACAAGTCTCTGAATGTCCTTGAGTGACCCAGCCAGAGCCCGGACTTGAACCCGGTCAAACATCTCTGGAGACACCTGAAAATAGCTGTGCAGCCTGACAGAGCTTGAGGGGATCTGCAGAGAAGAATGGGAGAAACTCCCCAAATACAGGTGTGCCAAGCTTGTAGCGTCATACCCAAGAAGACTCGAGGCTGTAATCGCTGCCAAAGGTGTGTCAACAAAGTACTGAGTAAAGGGTCTGAATACTTATGCAAATGTGATATTTTCAGGTCTCTTTAAAAATTAATTTGCAAAAATGTGTGTGTGTGTGTGTGTGTGTGTGTGTGTGTGGGGGGGGGGGGGGGGTAGGGTAGTGGCTCACCTTGTTATAAGTGTAGGGGGTGGGTGAGGTAGGTATTATTCCAGACTTTTCCTTCTGGTGTCGCCTTTGAGCCTCAAGTACCTAGAGTGAGAGGAGAAGAACACTGATTGAACTATTTCATCAAAAATGTCTATAGAACACTCCCCAACCTGCTTTCAGATCTGAGGAGAGCACCCATCCTTACCTGAGGTGCAACGTAGTAAGGTGTGAACTGTGGGGTCATCAAGTCCCCCTGGTCGATTTTGGCAAATCCAAAATCGCACAACTTCACCGGTGCATCCTTGAACATGAACGAGATAACAGACCAGAAAGAGGGATGAGCACATGATCAATCTCAAATAGGAATTTTCGTAGCAGGTTAAGGGATTCTCCTCTTGCAACATGCTCATTTCAGCCTATTACTAGACACCTGTAGTAAGAGCAGTGTGTGAGAGTGTGTGTGTGTGTGTGTGTGTGTGTGTGTGCAGGTCCGTGTGTGTGCTTCAGTCAGCCCATCCATTTCCTCACCAGGGAGTTATCCTTGAAGAGCAGGTTCTCTGGTTTCAGGTCTCGGTGTGCAATATTCAGTGAGTGACAGTGTTCCAGCGCCCGGCCGATCTGACGGATGATAAAAGAAAACACAGACAGAGAGGCTCAACTACATCAGAAAGTAATGTTATTAAAGTATGTGTTCATTAGGAAACCTGGGAGGAGGAGCAGCAATCTGGAGGAATTTGCCCTGTTTGAAACTAGTTCAGTATGTACTGTAGGGAATATGGTGCCATTTGGGACACAGCACTTGTGTTTTCACTAGGCAGGCAGAAGGTGTACCTGTTTAGTGACCTGGCTGGCCATCTTCTCTGTGAAGTGTTTGTGCTGACTGATCCTGTGGAACAGCTCGCCTCCCTCCATCATCTCCATGACGATCAGTAACCTCGCTCTGACACAGAGGGAAAGACCAAAAGAGATGTAGACAAGAAAGGAATGATTGAGGTAAACAGTTTTCATCTACTCAAATCCGGGGTAAAGCTTTAGTTTGTTTGTTACATTAGTTAGTAGTATTTTATTAGGATCCCCAATTAGCTGCTGCCAAGGCAGCGGCTCCTCTTCCTGGGGCCCCACAGGAAACAAAACACAAATACATAAAAAACATAACACTACGTAAAACAATACTTCTGTGCCACTAGAGATCCTGGTTCGAGTCCAGGCTCTGTCGCAGCCGGCCGCGACCGGGAGACCCATGGGGAGGCGCCTCTCCCGTGTCCGTACGGGAGTTGCAGCGATGGGACAATTGGATACCACGTAATTGGGGAGATAAAGGGGTAATTTTTTTAACTAAAACATACATGCATACAAAATTATAGAAATACATGTAATACATTTAAAAAAATACAATACTTAATGCAAAATACAATACATAAATGTCTGTCTCTTCACAGTCTCCGTCGTGCCGTAAGGTGTTCCTTAATCTGGTTTTTGAATCCGTTTTTATTGCTAGCTTGAGTTACCTGGGGTGGCAGAGAGTTTCATGTAGTCAGGGCTCTATTTAATACTGTGCGTTTTCCAACCTCTGTTCTGGACCTGGGGACTGTGAAGAGACCTCTGGTTGCATGTCTTGTGTGGTATCGATTAGTGTCCGAACTGTGTGCCAACTGCTTGAACAGACAGTTCGGTACCTTCAACACAACACCTCGCACGAAGACCAATTGCGATGCAGTCAATCTCTCCTCAACTTTGAGCCAGGAGAGATTGACATGCATGTCATTGACATTGGCCCTCCGTGTACATCCAAGTGCAATATGTCGGTCCTTCGTTGCCGCACATGACCACACAACTGGGCAGTAGTCCAGGTGAGACAAAACTAGGGTCTGTAGGTCCTGTCTGGTTGATTGGGATGTCAAGAAAGCAAAGCAACGCCTTATCATGGACAGACCTCTTCCCACTTTAGCAACCATTGAGTCTATCTATATGTTTTGAACATGACAGCTTGCCATCAGGGGTTGCACCAAGCAGTTTAGTCTCCTCAACTTGCTCAAATCGCCACATCATTCAACAATAGGTCTAGATGAGGTTTAGGGTTGAGTGAGTGATTTGTCCCAAAAACAATGCTTTTAGTTTGAGATATTTAGTGCCAGGCGATTGCTAGTTACCCATTCTAAAATTGACTGGCGCTCTGTGTTAAAGGAGTCAGTTATTTATTTTACTGTCGTAGCCGACATGTATACTGTTGAGTCGTCAGCGTACATAGACACAGACTTTATTCAATGTCAGTGGAAGGTCATTAGTAAAAACAAGAATGGCCCAAGACGTCTTCCCTGCGGTACACCACACTCAACTGAATTTGCATTAGAGGCTTCCATTAAAGAAAACCCCTTGAGTTCTATTAGATAGTCAACTCTCAATCCCTGATAAGGCAGAAGGTGTAAATCCATAACACCTACGTTTTGTCAGCAGTAGGTTATGATCAATGATATCAAAAGCTGCATTGAAGTATAACAAAACAGCGCCCACATTCTTATCAATTTCTTTCAGCCAATCAGTCATTTGTGTCAGCAATTTACCTATGTCCTTCTTTGCCGCAGAAGAGTGACCTTTCCTTTAAACATGCTGAAAGTTCGTTGCGAATTTGTTTTCTGTAAAATAACGTTGCATTTGGTCAAACACCATTTTTTCCAAAAGTTTGCTAAGCACCGGTAACAGGCAGATTCTTTGGATGTTTGAACCATTAAAAAGGGTGCTTTACTATTCTTGGGCAGTGGAATTAGTTTTGCCTCCCTCCAGGGCACACACTGTCTTCTAGGCTTAAATTGAAGATGTGGCAAACAGGAGTCGCAAAGTATTCCGCTACCAACCTCAGCAATTTACCATCCAGGTTATCGGTACCAGGTGGCTTGTCCTTATTTATAGATAGCAACAAAAAATATATATATATAATAATAATAAAATATATATCACCTATTCCACACCAACTTTACAGAACTCAAAACTATCAAATAAAATGTATTGGTCACATACACATGGTTAGCAGATGTTATTGCGAGTGTAGCGAAATGCTTGTGCTTCTAGTTCCAACAGTGCAGCAAAATCTAGCAAGTAATATCTAACAGTTCCACAACACAACCCTAATACACACACCTATGTAAAGGAATGGAATAAGAACATATAAATATATGGATGAGCAATGTCATTATCAGAGTAGCACAGGCTAAGATGCAATAGATAGTGAGTGCATACATTTTTCATACTAACTGTATGTCGCTCTGGATAAGAGCTAAATGACTAAAATGTAAATGTAAATAGTATAGAATACAGTATATACATATGAGATGGGTAATGCAAGATATGTAAACATTATTAAAAAGTGGCCTTATTAAAGTCCATATGTAGGCAGCAGCCTGTGCTAGTGATGGCTGTTTAAACAGTCTGAAGGCCTTGAGATAGCTGTTTTTCAGTCTCTCGGTCCCAGCTTTGATGCACCTGTGCTGACCTCACCTTCTGGATGATAGCTGGACTAGTGCTCGTCTTCCATTATTTGGTCCAATATGCATGAATATGAAGGCTCAGCGTTTGTGATTGGTATGTCATGCCTATTTTTGCAAATTTTGTCAACAATAAAATGTATTAAAGTGGTTGGCAATAAAGGGTTTTGTCATGAACAAGCCAAGTTTGCATAGAATTTCATTTAAGGTACTCCAGAGATGTTTTACTATCACTCTTTATATCATTGTGTTCCATAATTTAGTTTATTTTTGTTTAGTTACGTGTTCTCAATTTACTGTATGTTTGCCAATTTGCTGTGTTGTCAGACATTTGCTATACCCTTTGCCTCATCCCCTCAGCCATACAGTTTTTCAATTAATTATCTATCATGGGGATTTGGCACTTCTAACAAGTTTCTTGATGGGCGCATGCCTATCAGCAACCGGAAGAAGCAATTTCATAAATGCTTCAAGTGCGGCATCAGGTTGTACCCAATTTTAGGTCCAGTCTTTGGAACTTTGGTTTTTCATGATATGGCTATTATATTCTGATCATTACATCCGATGGGTGTGGATACTGCTTTAGAGCAGATTTCTGCAGCATTAGTAAAGACGTGGTCATTACACGTGGATGATTTAGTTTATTTTTGGTTTGTAAATACCCTGGTAGGTTGACTGATAACCGATGCCTGCAATCTGGTTCAGGTTACAGCTTGAAGCTTTTTTTTGAGTGGAGAGCTTGATGACAACCAGTCAATACTTAGGTCACCCAGAAAACATACCTCTGTTGATATCACATTCATTAAATCAAGCATTTCACAATCAGTCCAAATACTGACTTTTAGCACTCAGTGGTCTATAGCAACTTCCTTTGAGAATAGGCTTTAGGTGAGGCAGATGAACCTGTAGCCATATTACTTCCACATCATCTCTCAGCCTAACAGGAATAGAGCCCCACAGTGGAGGTGTCATAATACCCATAAAACCAAGCGGTCAAACAGGGAAATGGTTCTAATCTTTTTTCCGCAATTCATTTTTCCCATAGGGGATTTTAGAAACACTCAAAATAAGGGCTGTGTTTCGTATAGGCTTACCCTGGCATGACATTTTGATAACCATGTAAATCTCTCTCAGACAAGGTGACATCAATATAGTTGGCTATATTTACTCTCAGATTTTTAAAAAATACTAGTTTTATGGGTATTATGCTCATACAGTGGTACTCTGACTCTGTACCTACAGACACACACACACACTACCAGTCAAAAGTTGACACCTACTCATTCCAGGGTTTTTCTTTATTTTTAATATTTTCTACATTGTAGAATAATAGTGAAGACATCAGAACTATGAAATAACACATATGGAATCATGTAGTGACAAAAAAAGTGTTACACAAATCAAAATATATTTTATATTTGAGATTGTTCAAATAGCCACCCTTTGCCTTGATGACAGCTTTGCACACTCTTGGCATTCTCTCAACCAGCTTCACCTGGAATACTTTTCCAACAGTCTTGAAGGAGTTCCCACATATGCTGAGCACTTGTTGGCTGCTTTTCCTTCACTCTGCTGTCCAACTCATCCCAAACCATCTCAATTGGGTTGAGGTCGGGGGATTGTGGAGGCCAGGTCATCTGATGCAGCACTCCATCACTCTCCTTTTTGGTCAAATAGCCCTTACACAGCCTGGAGGTGTGTTGGGTCATTGTCCTGTTGAAAAACAAATAATAGTCCCACTAAGCCCAAACCAGATGGGATGGCGTATCGCTGCAGAATGCAGTGGTAGCCATGCTGGTTAAGTGTGCCTTGAATTCTAAATAAATCACAAACAGTGTCACCAGCAAAGCACCCCCAAACCATAACACCTCCTCCTCCATGCTTTACGGTGGGAACTACACATGCAGAGATCATCCGTTCACCCACACCGCGTCTCACAAAGACACGGCGGTTGGAACCAAAAATCTCAAATTTGTCCATTGCTAGTGTTTCTTGGCCCAAGCAGGTCTCTTCTTATTGGGGTCCTTTAGTAGTGGTTTCTTTGCAGCAATTCGACCATGAAGGCCTGATTCACACAGTCCCCTCGGAACAGTTGATGTTGAGATGTGTCTGTTACTTGAACTCTGAAGCATTTATTTGGACTGTAATTTCTGAGGCTGGTAACTCTAATGAACTTATCCTCTGCGGCAGAGGTAACTCTCGATCTTCCATTCCTGTGGTGGTTCTCATGAGAGCCAGTTTCATCATAGCGCTTGATGGTTTTTGCGACTGCACTTGAAGAAACTTTAAAAGTTCTTAATGTTCCGTATTGACTGACCTTCAAGTCTTAAAGTAATGATGGACTGTTGTTTCTCTTTGATTATTTATTTGAGCTGTTCTTGCCATATTATGGACTTGGTCTTTTACCAAATAGGGCTATCTTCTGTATACCACCATTACTTGTCACAACACAACTGATTGGCTCAAATGCATTAAGAAGTAAAGAAATTTAACAAATTAACTTTTAAGAAGGCACACCTGTTAATTGAAATGCATTCCAGGTGACTACCGAATGAAGCTAGTTGAGAGAATGCCAAGACTATGCAAAGCTGTCAAGGCAAATGGTGGCTATTTGAAGAATCTGAAATATAAAATAGTTTGATTTGTTTAACACTTTTTTGGTTACTACATGATTCCATGTGTTATTTCATAGTTTTGATGTCTTCACTGTTATTCTACAATGTAAAAAAAAAGTAATAATAAAGAAAAACCCTTGAATGAGTAGGTGTGTCCAAAACTTTTGACTAGTAGTGTACATACAGTGGCTTGCAAAAGTATTCACCCCCCTTGGCATTTTTCCTATTTTGTTGCCTTACAACCTGGAATTAAAATTGATTTTTGGGGGGTTTGTATCATTTGATTTACACAACATGCCTACCACTTTGAAGATGCAAAATATTTTTTTATTGTGAAACAAACAAGAAATAAAGACAAAAAACGGAACTTGAGCGTGCATAACTATTCACCCCCCCCAAAGTCAATACTTTGTAGAGCCACCTTTTGCAGCAATTACAGCTGCAAGTCTCTTGGGGTGTCTATAAGCTTGGCACATCTAGCCACTGGGATTTTTGCCCATTCTTCAAGGCAAAACTGCTCCAGCTCCTTCAAGTTGGATGGGTTCCGCTGGTGTATAGCAATCTTTCAGTCATACCACAGATTCTCAATTGGATTGAGGTCTGGGCTTTGACTTGGCTATTCCAAGACATTTAAACATTTCCCCTTAAACCACTCAAGTGTTGCTTTAGCAGTATGCTTAGTGTCATTGTCCTGCTGGAAGGTGAATCTCCGTCCCAGTCTCAAATCTCTGGAAGACTGAAACAGGTTTCCCTCAAGAATTTACATTTAACATTTAAGTCATTTAGCAGACGCTCTTATCCAGAGCGACTTACAAATTGGTGCATTCAACTTAGGATAGCCAGTGGGACAAGCACATCTTGATCACAGTAAGTACACTTATTCAAACAAGCAGCTGTGAGCAACAAGCAGCTGGGACAACTACATATCGATCACAATTTCCCTGTATTTAGCACCATCCATCATTCCTTCAATTCTGACCAGTTACCCAGTCCCTGCCGATGAAAAACATCCCTACAGCATGATGCTGCCACCACCACCACTTTATTTAACTAATTATGTGACTTCTGAAGGTAATTGGTTGCACCAGATCTTATTTAGGGGCTTCATAGCAAAGGGGGTGAATACATATGCACGCACCACTTCTCCGTTATTTATTTTTTAGAACTTTTTTGAAACAAGTTATTTTTTTCATTTCACTTCACTAAATTTGGACTATTTTGTGTATGTCCATTACATGAAATCCAAATAAAAATCTATTTAAATTACAGGTTGTAATGCAACAAAATAGGAAAAACGCCAAGGGGGATGAATATATAGACAGTGGGGAGAACAAGTATTTGATACACTGCCGATTTTGCAGGTTTTCCTACTTACAAAGTATGTAGAGGTCTGTAATTTTTATCATAGGTACACTTCAACTGTGAGAGACGGAATCTAAAACAAAAATCCAGAAAATCACATTGTATGATTTATGTAATTAATTTGCATTTTATTGCATGACATAAGTATTTGATCACCTACCAACCAGTAAGAATTCCGGCTCTCACAGACCTGTTAGTTTTTCTTTAAGAAGCCCTCCTGTTCACCACTCATTACCTGTATTAACTGCACCCGTTTGAACTCTTTACCTGTATAAAAGACACCTGTCCACACACTCAATCAAACAGACTCCAACCTCTCTACAATGGCCAAGACCAGAGAGCTGTGTAAGGACATCAGGGATACAATTGTAGACCTGCACAAGGCTGGGATGGGCTACAGGACAATAGGCAAGCAGCTTGGTGAGAAGGCAACAACTGTTGGCGCAATTATTAGAAAATGGAAGAAGTTCAAGATGACAGTCAATCACCCTCGGTCTGGGGCTCCATGCAAGATCTCACCTCGTGGGGCATCAATGATCATGAGGAAGGTGAGGGATCAGCCCAGAACTACATGGCAGGACCTGGTCAATGACCTGAAGAGAGCTGGGACCACAGTCTCAAAGAAAACCATTAGTAACACACTACACCATCATGGATTAAAATCCTGCAGCGCACGCAAGGTCCCCCTGCTCAAGCCAGCGCATGTCCAGGCCCGTCTGAAGTTTAACAATGACCATCTGGATGATCCAGAGGAGGAATGGGAGAAGGTCATGTGGTCTGATGAGAAAAATAGAGCTTTTTGGTCTAAACTCCACTCGCCATGTTTGGAGGAAGAAGAAGGATGAGTACAACCCCAAGAACACCATCCCAACCGTGAAGCATGGAGGTGGAAACATCATTCTTTGGGGATGCTTTTCTGCAAAGGGGACAGGACGACTGCACCGTATTGAGGGGAGGATGGATGGGGCCATGTATCGCGAGATCTTGGCCAACAACCTCCTTCCCTCAGTAAGAGCATTGAAGATGGGTCGTGGCTGGGTCTTCCAGCATGACAATGACCCGAAACACACAGCCAGGGCAACTAAGGAGTGGCTCCGTAAGAGGCATCTCAAGGTCCTGGAGTGGCCTAGCCAGTCTCCAGACCTGAACCCAATAAAAAAATCTTTGGAGGGAGCTGAAAGTCCGTATTGCCCAGCGACAGCCCCGAAACCTGAAGGATCTGGAGAAGGTCTGTATGGAGGAGTGGGCCAAAATCCCTGCTGCAGTGTGTGCAAACCTGGTCAAGACCTACAGGAAACGTATGATCTCTGTAATTGCAAACAAAGGTTTCTGTACCAAATATTAAGTTCTGCTTTTCTGATGTATCAAATACTTATGTCATGCAATAAAATGCAAATTAATTACTTAAAAATCATACAATGTGATTTTCTGGATTTCTGTTTTAGATTCCGTCTCTCACAGTTGAAGTGTACCTATGATAAAAATTACAGACCTCTACATGCTTTGTAAGTAGGAAAACCAGCACAATCTGCAGTGTATCAAATACTTGTTCTCCCCACTGTATATAATAGCCATGGGGTTGGCTTGAAATGGTATACATACAGTACAAGATCGCTTAGAACTGTGCCATTTGGTCTATGCCTCGAACAAGGATGTGGATTAATAAGGGTTGACTGTTGCGGGCAAGAACTGATATCCCATCACTTTTTTAGTACCTAAAAAAAGTACACTAGGTGCATAAGCATTAATGTGTGTTAATACTGTATGTAGCAATATGACAGTGGCATTCACAGGTTTCTAAGTGATCCCGTCAATGACGTGTTGTATGTGCTGGTACTTGCTCCTCCTCACCTTGGAGTGGATTCGTGAGGAAACTGCACACTGTTGGCGTACACCTCCATAATCTGCACGATGTTGGGTTGTGTGGCACACATCATGTGAAGCCGCACCTAAATCATCACGGACAGAACAAAGAGTTAAAACATGCCTGGTGACACTGACCATGTCTGGCTAGGCAGAGGCAGACCGTCTTGTCTTTAACGATTGATACACACAAACAGTGCAGATAACCAATCGGCAAAACTACAGAGACATACTTTTATTTTTCAGTGTTCCTTGCAGAAACAAACAGGCCTTGAGAGCTGATAAGGGCATGTTGCACTGATGGGACACTGTGCTCAAGTGGGGGGCTGCTCCTTTAGACTGCACCTCACACAGCTGAACAACTGCAGGTAGCCGAGTGGCAGTGTTGGGGAAGCTACTCTGAAAATATAGTTTACCAAGCTACCATTTACTTCACACTGGAAGAAGTTAAGCTACCCTTAAAACACATTTTACTTAATTAAGTTACTTTGGAAAAGTAGTTCACTAAAATTATCATAACTAAAATCGGATATGTCAGACTGCAAATTGCAAGAACAGTTCACTCGAGTCAGATGTTAACAAAATGTGTAATTTAGTCTATTAAAACACAACAACTATGTTTAAAGTAGGGATGGGCGGTATTCAGATTTTCATATAGTCATACCATTTCTGTACCATACCGGGGTATACGGTATTATCGAATGTAAGGGGCGCTTAATTTTTTAAAAATACATCTAATGACATTTTGTAATGGGGGACGGAGAGTGGGGTGGGACGACGACGCACAAAACAGGGATCTTGATCCAGGAGAGGATTGAATGTCTCTGCTGTAACCAATAATCTTGACATCTAGCCACTTGGCTAGCAAGTTAGCAAACCAAATGCATAGCTGGAGCCCTGAGCTGGATTTAAATGTACACATGCTAGATTTCATATAGTTCTACCCCTGCAGCGGTGTCCCCTACCCCAAAAATACCCAGGTATTTCGAAATACCCTGGTATACGGTATATCGCCCAAGCCTAGTTTCAAGTGAGAATTAGGCCGGTCTGATGGAGGAAAACAAAGTATATTCTTGCCTACTTCACCCATATTTTATTTTTGCAAAAAGAGTAGTGTGTAGTTCCAGTAGTTAGCTACACCACTACATGGCAAATAAGTAATTAACTACTGAAAACACTACCAACATTTGAATTTAGTTAAACTACCACCAAGCTACAGCAGAATTTAATTCAATGACTAGCTGAACCACATGCAGTTCACTACTCTGCCAAGGTGCTTTATCTAATAGTAAGTAGTGGGCTGGGTGGCTGAGTGACTTTCCAATTGAGTGCAAGGGAGCAGAATGTTCTTTTTTTTTCTTCTTTTTTAACTACACTGTGTGCACAATTATTAGGCAAGTTGTATGTTTGAGGATTAATTTTATTATTGAACAACTACAGTGCTCTCGGTCAATCCAAAATGTTAATAAACCTCAAACTTGAATATCTAAGAAAGTAAAAGTGAGGTTTTGGCTTTCTTTGGAGAATATCTGTGTGCACAATTATTAGGCAACTATTTGTGTGCAGAATTATTATGCAACTAAATGGAAAAACGAAAAGTTCCCCATCTCACTTGTTCATTTTCATCTGTTAAAGTGAGAATAACAAACAAACTCAAATTTATAAATAAACATTTGACATTACAACAAAAAATATCAGTGACCAATATAGCCACCCTTCTTTTCAATAACAGTCATAAGCCTTCCATCCATGGAGTCTGTCAGTTTCTTGATCTGTTGACTATCAACTTTTTGTGCAGCAGCAACCATAGCCTCCCAGACACTGGTCAGAGAGGTGTACTGTTTTCCTTCCCCGTAAATCGACCGTTTAAGAAGGGACCACAAGTTCTCAATAGGGTTTAGGTCAGGTGAGGAAGGGGGCCATGTCATTATTCTTTCATCTTTAAGGCCTTTACTGGCTAGCCACACAGCGGAGTACTTCGATGCATGCGATGGAGCATTGTCCTGCATAAAAATCATGGTCTTCTTGAAAGATGCAGACTTCTTCCTGTACCACTGCTTGAGGAAAGTGTCTTCTAAAAACTGGCAGTAGGTTTGGGAGTTGAGTTTGAGTCCATCTTCAACCCGAAAAGGTCCAACTAGCTCATCTTTAATAATACCAGCCCATACCAGTACCCCACCTCCACCTTGCTGGCGTCTGAGTCGAAGTGGAGCTCCGTGCCCGTTACTGATCCAGCCACGTGCCCATCCATCTGGTCCGTCAAGAGTCACTCATCTCATCAGTCCATAAAACCTTTGAAAAATCTGTCTTCAGATATTTCTTGGCCCAGTCTTGACGTTTCAACTTGTGTCTTGTTCAGTGGTGGTCGGAATTCAGCCTTCCTTACCTTGGCCATGTCTCTGAGCACCATGTACTTCTGGGCACTCCAGGTAGTTTGCTGTTCTGGAATATGACAGCACTGGAGGATAATGGGTTCCTGGTAGCTTCACGTTTGATTCTTCTCAAATCTTTGGCAGTTAATTTGCATCTTTTTTTCTCAACACAGTTCTTGTGACCATGTTGACTATTTGCAACAAAACATTTGATGGTTCTGTGATCACGCCCCAATATCTTAGCAATTTCAAGAGTGCTGCATCCCTCTGAAATACTTTTTAAAAAATTTCACTTTTCAGTCAGTTAAAATCTCTCTTTTTGCCTAAGGAAAAGAAGCTGCCTAATAATTATACACACCTTGATATAGGGTGTTGATTTCCTTAGGCCACACCCTCCCTCATTACACAAATACACATCACCTGATATGCTTAAATCCAATAAGCATTCCAGTTTATACAGCTTGGAGTTGGGAAATATGCATAATAATGATGATATGGTCAAAATACTGACTTGCCTAATAATTGTGCACACAGTGTAGTTGAATGGCCATTTTTACCATGTATGCACCTGCAACTTACCATGTGAGAGATTATACAGTAAACAATCATTTTTAATAACTTAGTCAAGCCCATTTTTTACTTTGAAGTGAAAAATCTTAATTTCAGTTTCAATTATTATTTTTGGTCCTGTACAGTTGTAAAATAAAATGTAATGTATTATTTTTTAAGAAATTGTGTTTCATGCAAGGGTGCCAATATATTTGACTGCATATTATGTCCTAAATGAAACCGTATTCCCTATATAGTGCACTATATTTGAGCAGAGCCCTATGGACCCTGGTCGAAATCAGTGCACTTTATAGGGAATAGGGCGCCATTTGGGACGTACACAAAGACAACACAGCAGACTCAACACTGACAAAACAGACCAAACACAAGACACATAAAGTGCAGATGACACACAGACAAGGACGACACGAACAAAAGACAATCAGAAAACCAAAACAATGGTTCAAAACCTCATTTCGGGCCTTGGGACGATCAATGAGGATCTTCAAGGCCAATCGTTCCTGAGTCGTCTTCTTAACACAAACTCTATGGAGAGGAAGATAAATATGTCAAGAAGAAAATCAGACAATATAACAATAGTGAGCCAGCTTTTCATGGCGCTAATTAGGGCTGCACATTGCATCTAATTTTAATATCGCAAGAGGCGGCAAAAAAAAAATTCAACCAACTCTTTGGTTCCTACCCTGTCACAACTTTTACTGTACCTGGCTTTTTCATTAGTTGTCATGCCAAACACCACCAATCATAGAATTGGAATACACACTTTATTTCTATGATTCGAACACAGTTCACCCAAGTGTTTTGATCTAAAATCAAAAGTAATATTGCAATTGCAAGATTGAGGAAAACTATCATAAAAACATTTTTTTAAATTCACCATTACATAATTTGCCCATATCGTGCAGCCCTAGAGCTAATTAGTGAATGGGGGATTTTTTTTTTTTTTTTATCGATCGTTACATATCGGGATATAATTTGACGATATATCATATCGTTTTGACAATCTCGTATTAAAATCCTGCATTTTTCCTACATAGCTTGTTCTCCATCTTGTTCTTAAATTAGAGCGCCAATTTCTTTTCAGCACTTTTATTTCCATGACTGATCCAAACTCATTTTCTCATGGCTCTCTCGTCCCTCTGCAGCAGCAATATGTTTAGAACAACACATCACAGTATCGAATCGCAATACATATCGTATCAGCACCGATGTACCGTGATAATATCGTATTGTGAGGTCCCTGGCAATTCCCAGCCCTAGAGCTAATGCTGGTCCACACCGTTATTAGGTTAACTAAGAGTAGGCTTAATACCAGTACCAGCCTCTCACTGAGGACACAAACATTCAATCCAAACCATAACCTCTGCTCCTAAACTCAGATTACACTAAGAATAAAACCTAGCCTATCCTGGAGGAACATTCTGCTCGACCAAAGTTCAACAGGGGGAGTGAAATTCCTGAAGCATCAGAAAGAGTATGAGGGGAACAAGGAAGGAGAGAGCAAAGATATAGGCCAGTAATGCCTACAGCATCTAGCTATAGATAGGCCAAGAAATCAGCCTAGACAGAAAGCAACGAGTCTCCATTCTGAATCAATGAGTAAAGTGGTGCGGCATGCAGTGGAATGGAAGAGCTTGTGTTCGCTGTGTGTCAGTAGACCATGAGGAACGGTGAGCCGCTAAGGACTTACAGCTCAGGCACACCAGGACTGTTTGCTGGCAGAGAGTACTTAGCACCTCTGAACGTAAATCTGCAAACAGAGTGCGCACCAATTTTACATGTAGAATCGCATGAAAATTGTCCCTAAAACATACACGCTGAATGTTCGGCAGACGAACACTAGATCCACATTACGTACGATGTGTGCGAGCCTTAAGACTATGACAAATGCTAACCTTAACCCAGGACTTTGAACTCTGTTGGAGTCTGAGTCACATATCAGCTGTTCCAGGTGTTTCAGAGAGAAGGCCAAATCATATCAACAAGGCCTATCGTCCAGATAACAATTGACTCTCAGCAAGAACTGAGGGGTGTACTATGAAGCTGGAGGAGTTAGCAAGCTAACTTTGGTCAATTCTATGTTCAACTCGGGATAACAGTAGACACGAAGGTGGTTCACCTTTTAGCCAGGTACATTTCTATGGCAACGCCATCAGCTCTAACCTACTCCTGGGCAGGCTAGCTCCACTTTATCCTGAATGAAGTTTTTCAGCAGCAAGTTGAGGACCAATCAAATTAGATTCCCTCACTCTCCGGACCATATTTGAGGAAGATGACTGATTAAATGTTTTATTAAATCAAAATGTTAGTGTTAAAAATAATAATATTGAAATATATATCACTAGTGATTGGGGGGCGGTGGGTGGGGGTAAATCAATAGTTCCATATCAAGATATTCTTTGACGCTATATCGCAATATAATTTTTTGCAATAATATTTTTGCGCTAGCCGGCTGTACCTGCACCAAAACGCCAGTATTTTTCCTTCATAGTTTGTTCTCCATATTCTTTTTAAATAGTGAGCCAATTATTATTCAGGACTTTTATTTCCATGACTGATCAAAAGTCGTTCTCTCATGGCTCTCTCGTCCCTCTGCAGCAGACATACAGTATGGTGGAGTAATAGGTTTGGGAAAAAAACGCAATGCATATAGAATCGTGAAAATCACAATACATTTCGTAACGGCACCTAAGTATGGTGATATCGTATTGTGAGGTCCCTGGCCATTCCCAGCCCAATACATCACACTACACATTAAGTAATGACAGGATGCATTTGAAACGTCACACGTGGTAAAACGTTACTTTTGTATGTCTTAATAGGATTATTTCATCCATAGGAGTGGAGAAAAAGGGGCGTGTGCATTGATAAGCACACCAAGACTACATTAACAATATGATTAATAAAATAATAACGGCATTTGTAGTAGCCTATATCCCACCATAGCCCGCTGAATTTGCAAGATAACCTTTCTTTCATTTTCAGCAAAAATGAAAGTGTGACAGTGACTCGCCCATGGATTGCAGTTTCAGCATTGTCTCAATGAAGAGTTTGGCGTTCGACTACCCACATTCAACACGAACGCGCAGTTACAAGCTGGCTCGAGTTAACAGCGGGTGCATGCTAAATACCCACATTCGTAACATGGATGAAGCCTGAGGTGAAATTTGAAGCCAACTGAAGCTGGCTAGCTTTAGAAAATCCTGAAAATATCTAGCTAGCGTCGTAGTATACCCCTCTGATCCGCGCAGCCTGGCCAAAGATGAATCAGGAAAGTGTAAGGCAGCCTTTGAGGTGAAGGTAATTCAACGCAAGTCTAATTCCCTAAGCATGAGAATGTTGGAACAACCCTCCATAGCTGACGAGGTGAATCCCAAACACATTGACACTAATGCCCTATCCAGAGACGACCCGGTCAGTGTGGTAATGTGTCAATGGGTTGAGAGGCTGCTGGTGCTGCCAGGGCAGGCGCCACTGTAAACACACTGAGTAATACCACCTTTAACAGGTGTGAGTGACACCACCTTCTCCAATCCAGTGTAAGAGCACTGGACTCCTCTGGAGGACAACTCTTGAACCTCATCTGGGTTTATGCAATAATATTTATGGATCTCCTACATTGCACAAATGCTACGGCTACGGCAAAGGGAACCCTTCAATAGGGCAACCTATGCGAGAACAATGTTCACCTAACAGGTCCACTGATCCCAGCCCCGAGCTTCTGTGTCCAGTTGATGTTGTACTCCTCCAAGATTGAGGTTTCCTAAGAGAGGAGGACAAAATCAAGAATGCATCTGGGTCAATTACATGTACCTTTAAAATGATAAATAGCTGTAAGTAGAAATAAGTATTTTTTTCCTTTCAAGTCCTCCAACCAGTCCTGCATCTGGGAACATTTCACACAGAAAACATGTGTAGGCAGCAGCATCCCTGTTCACAGTTAATATTGTCCAATTCCTCTCTTTTGCTAAGTCAAGCTCCTGTTGTGTATACACTCGCTGGCCATTATCGTAATGCATACCAATTACTCAGAGGCTTTTCTTGGACCAGAGATGACCCCTATCCAGTACCTCTGGGCTCTGCTCCAACCATTTTTATCCTATGACTAGCAAGGGCGTATTTGGCAAGTAGCTAGGAAGAGTTGTTTACAAAAACTCTAAATGCTTATCGTGAACTCCTTATTTGCCACTTAAAACATTTCCTTTTTCTGTTCACTCTAGTGGGCCATTCTGGCCTTTGGAGCTTTTTGCCCCAGGCGGTGTTCCAATTCTCAGCGCTAGGCTATTCCAAAAAGCCAGCACCTCTCGTCGTCACTAGTAAACATTTGTAGCATTTCTACAATTTCTCTTAAAATCAGATTTTAAACCTAACCTTAAATTACACTGCTAACCTTATGCCTAACCTTAAATTAACACCAAAATGCACATTTTTGTTTTCATGAATTTTTACGATATAGACAATTTTGACTTTGTGGCTGTGCCATCTAGTGGAAACCGACACTCTCCTCCCCCCCCCCCCCCCCCCAGGGCCTCCTCCCATCCTTAGCACATTCTGAACCAGCTGTGTGAGCAGCAGGGGACACTTGGATCACATTTTATGTTTAATATGGATGCCCACTGACACACTAAGAGTAGCAGCCAAGAGCAGGAGAGACAAGGCCAGGCATCTGAGGGGTTGATTAGAGGTCCAGACTGAGAGGCTGGCTGGATAAAATGTAAGACAGACCTGGAGAGAGGGGAAAGGGTTCACAAGGAGGTATCTATCCTTAATACATAGGAGTGTTTCCTGCTAAAAGCATCTAGTACGCTAATTATAGTCTTGAATACCCTACTCACTTGAGCTTCAGGGTGCTTGGAAGTTAGTTACACCTGATTCTGACCATGACACACCATGACTAGAGGTTTAATGTTTATTCATCTATAAAAGTAAATAGAGCCAACTATATTGATAAGTCACCTTGTCCGTCATGCCAGGGTAAGCCTATATGAAACACAGCCCTTATTTTAAGTGTTTCTAAAATCCCTTTGGGGAAAAATTAAAGTGGAAAAACGATTGGAACCATTTCCCTGTTTGACCGCTAGGTTATGGGTATTATGCCACTGCCATAGAGTTCAGTTTACTTGGGGGCACTAAATTGTGTTGAGGGGAAAACAAAACCAGGCTGGTTTCATGTAACTAATACACATGGAAAGTGAACTCTGTTCACAACGTTGACGTCAGTAAACTGCTCGCCCACACGACGCCATACACATGGTCTGCGGTTGTGAGGCTGATTGGACGTACTGCCAGTTTCTCTAAAACGACGTTGGAGGCAGCTTATGGTAGAGAAATGAACATTTAATTCTCTGGACACAGCTCTGGTGGTCATTCCTGCAGTCAGCATGGCAATTGCACGCTCCCTCAAAACTTGAGACATCTGTGGCATTGTGTTGTGTGACAAAACTGCACATTTTAGAGTGGCCTTTTATTGTCCCCAGCACAAGGTGCATCTGTGTAATTATGCTGTTTAATCAGCTTATTGATATACCACACCTGTCAGGTGGATGGATTATATTGGCAAATGAGAAATGCTCACTAACAGGGATGTAAACAAATTTGTGCACAACATTTGAGAGAAAAAAGCTTTTTGTGCATATGGAAAATTTCTGAGATCTTATTTCAGCTCATGAAACATGGGACCAACACTTTACATGTTGCGTTTATATCTTTGTTCAGTGTTGTTGAACTACATGTACTTCACTACTCCCAACACTGCTAAAATACTACAGTAACGTACCAAGAGGAACAAAATGTGTTTGCACTAGATCTAAGCAACTGACTTGTCTATGAAATACAATCGGACATTTATCACATTTACATTTACGTCATTTAGCAGACGCTCTTATCCAGAGCGACTTACAGTTAGTAACACTTATTTCAATGCATTATTATAACATTAGCAGAACATCCAGCATGCAAAAAGTTGCTCTGTATTAAAATGCAACCTTACCTTGATGGATTTGTCTGCGTTGTTATCCTCCGACATGATGTTCCACTGTGATAGAAGAGTCCTAACTTTTGTTTTGGGAGTTCTTTCAGTTTACAATCAAAACAAAGGGGGTTGACCTTTGACAGCTATTGTCAATGTTAAATAGCTAACGTTTTCCCTACCGGGTACAAGCTACTGGTGACAGGCCATGGTTGACGCTTGATATTCGGCCAAAAAGCCACAGTTGAATGCGTTTACTTCGGTAACCCGACTTGAAGACATCCAGCCGGGGCGAGATGCCTCATTCCAGCTCGTTTCACAAACTACAGTCCCTCCAACTTCTTCCGATCGTCTTGACTTGGCTGTGGCGACCATGTAGAGCGACAAAGTCCCAACGGGTTGTCTGAAAAGTCGAAAGGTGAACGGGCTCCAATAGGCAAACTCACCGCTTTTGGTAGGACGCTGAGTGGGGGACAAAGAGTGGTGTATTTTTAGCCATTGAGGGATATGATTGAGCACTTGGCTAGCTAGCTAGGAAGATAGCTACAGGACACGCATCAAGCACCGGTCAAATGAGCGGCTACTAGCTAATGTGGCTCTTCGTCACGGGTTTCGTTGTGTTGTAAAAGCCTGCAAACTTGCTAAATAAAAAGTCAAAACAAACGTTGTTGAGAGACCAGGGGTTTCGGGTGAAAATAAAGCGGCGGGGAGGAGAAAAAGGTACACCGAGTACCAAAACTCGTCGACGCTTGCTTAGCTAGCAAAATAACTAGCTAAAAGAGCCTGCTAGCTAGCAACCCAACCATCATTTAAAAAGTAAATAGCCCTCCAGGTTAGATATCGTTAAACACAATAGATGATACAGATTTTTTTTTTTTTTTTGCCGACCAGTTTGTGACTTAAATACATCGAGTGCTAACTAAACAAGAACGGTGTATAACGAAAGCCTGATGAAAATGATACACATTTTAAGACATTGCAATTCCAAATATTTCAGGAATGTCACCACTACAACTTTCAATATGAAAGTCAAGTATAATAGTTGCATTGAGTCCGGTTCACTTGTAATCCATTTCCCGTCGTTATTATTAAATTGGGCAGGAAAAGCCAGCCATTTATTGGGCCTTGGGGTCCTTTTTGCTCAATGCGGCCACAAAGCAAAGAGGAAGAGGCCAAGCGAGAGGTTTTACTCCTCCCAAAATCTGTCCACGAAATGAGGGATTTGTGTATATCAACAAAAAATATATTGCTAATTTGCTTCGTGGAGATTTATTGATCGAATAGAAGTTTCGTAATGGTTAAGTTGTTACGAATGCACTGTTATAAGTGGACACACGTGGCATTTCGGCAACTTGTGCCTGTTTTCATAGAGTACTCACCATGGATATAACCCTAACTGGACATTGCCATTAAGGGCTTCCACCATTTTAAAGTAGTCAATTGGGTGTGGATTTCTATGAGTTGGGAGCAATCAGCCAATGAAGAAGAAGATGGACTACTTTAAAATTGAGATAGCCTCAATGGCACTGCCCATGCCGTCATAGACACTATAATGTAGTCCCGTGTAGCTCAGTTGGTAGAGCATGGCGCATGCAACGCCAGGGTTGTGGGTTCGATTCCCACGGGGGACCAGTATGAAAATGTATGCACTCACTAACTGTAAGTCGCTCTGGATAAGAGCGTCTGCTAAATGACTAAAATGTAAATAAAGATGAGTACTCTTATCTATCTCTATGTCACGTTTACACGTGTATCTGCCCTCTCATTGGCTAGAATGGTCCCACCTGATCTCACCTGCCTTCCGTCTTTGAGGACATGTATTTCCATTGTTAGAGCTGTCACTTGACTATCTTGTCAATATAATAGACAATCTTTGCACAAATATACACCGCATGACCAAAAGTATGTGGACATTGCTCGTTGAACATCTCATTCCTAAATCATGGGCATTAATATGGAGTTGGTCCCCATTTCGCTGCTATAACAGCCTCCACTTCTGGGAAGGCTTTCCACTAGATGTTGGAACATTGCAGCGGGGACTTGCTTTCATTCAGCCACAAGAGCATCAGTGAGGTCGGGCACTGATGTTGGGCGATAAGGCCTGGCTCGCAGTTCTTCCACACCGATCTCGACAAACCATTTCTGTATGGACCTCGCTTTGTTGTCATGCTGAAACAGGAAAGGGCCTTCCCCAAACTGTTAACACAAAGTTGGAAGCATAGAATCGTCTAGAATGTAATTGTACGCTGTAACATTAAGATTTCCCTTCACTGGAACTAAGGGGCCTAGTCCGAACCATCAAAAACAGCCCCAGACCATTATTCCTCCTCCACCAAACTTTACAGTTGGCACTATGCATTCGGGACTATGTATCCGGGCAGGTAGCGTTCTCCTGGCATCCGCAAAAACCCAGATTCGTCCGTCGGACTGCCAGATGGTGAAGCATGATTCATCACTCCAGAGAACGCGTTTCCCCTGCTCCAGAGTCCAATGATGGCGAGCTTTACACCACTCTAGCCGACAATTGCCTTTGCTCATGGTGATCTTATGCATGTGTGCGGCTGCTCGGTCATGGAAACCCATTTCATGAAGCTCCCTACGAACAGTTATTGTACTGACGTTGCTTCCAGAGGCAGTTTGGAGCTCGGTAGTGAGTGTTGCAACTGAGGACAGACGATTTTTACGCACTACGCACTTCAGCAAACAACGGTCCCGTTCTGTGAGCTTGTGTGGCCTACCACTTCGCGGCTAAGCCGTTGTTGCTCCTAGATGTTTCTACTTCACAATAACAGCGCTTACAGTTGACCGGGGCAGCTCTAGCAGGGCAGAAATTTGAAGAACTAACTTGTTGGAATGGTGGCATCCTATGAGGGTGCCACGTTGAAAGTCACTGAGCGCTTCAGTAAGGCCTTTCTACTGCCAATATTTGTTTATGGAGATTGCATGGCTGTGTGCTCGATTTTATACACCTGTCAGCAACAGGTGTGGCTGAAATAGCCGAATTCACAAATTTGAAGGGGTGTCCACATACTTTTGTATATATAGTGTATTTTTAAAGCAAGAGGGTCAACCAGAGACGGAAGAGGAAGCGAGACACCCCACTCCCTAACGCACTGGTGTCTATGGGAGAGTCACCCATTAAGCAGACCAGAAGTTACACATTTTTTCATTGGTAAATGACCTGAGTGAACTATCTTCATATATCCACCATCTTTGGGTAAACTATTGCATTATTTCCGTCTGCCGGAAAGTAGTTGAATGTTTAGTTGTTTAGTCAAATTTCAGCTTGAATGTTGGCTGCATGTATGGAGAATACTGTAGCCAATGGCAACAGTGCAACTTACTTTGTGGGATTCAAACCTGAGTCTTCCAGCCAGCCCTGGGCAAACTCGCTAACCACTGCTCCAATACTAGGATTAAATCACTTGGGGGAGATCCCAAAAGCAAGGGTTGTTACTCGATATACTATCCCCTCCCTTTCGGGAGAGCATGTCCCTACCAAGACCCTCACATACACACCTCTCAGATGGTCTCAAGGGCACCATCCCACTTTTGACACCAACGTAGCAAATGGGAGCAGTGCAAGCTCCCTTGTGACATTTTGTGACATGTTGTTTGTTACTAAACAGCATGTTTTCTCACAACGGTGTGCACCTAGCACTTTCATAGACGCTAACTACCTTTAGCGCCTATTGACGATAGTATCTTCTGGCTGGGGGAGTTTTGTTAAGAGCCCCGACGCTTGCTCTAAAAGTTAACATGCATTGCTTGTGTTACGGTTTTGGAAACAATAAGGAATATATCTTTCATATCAGCGAGAAATAGAAAAAAAAGGTTAAATTACTACACTTTTAGAATGTAAATGGTAGACGGACCCCACAAACATGTTGTCACTAAAAACTACTGTCGGCTGCAACTGTGTTAAAACCAGTTAAATCAGTGTACAGTAATTGTATATTTTGCATTTGTGAAATTATTTTGATGTGATATGAAAGTAGAAGGCTTTATGTTTCTAGAACTGTACAGCAATTGAGAATCGATTCACATTTAGATATAGTATTTGACCGTTTTGGCTGCCAGTGCCAATTTTCTTCTAAACAGAACATGTACAGTGAGGGAAAAAAGTATTTGATCCCCTGCTGATTTTGTACGTTTGCCCATTGACAAATAAATGATCAGTCTATAATTTTAATGGTAGGTTTATTTGAACAGTGAGAGACAGAATAACAAACAAAAAATCCAGAAAAACGCATGTCAAAAATGTTATAAATTGATTTGCATTTTAATGAGGGAAATAAGTATTTGACCCCCTCTCAATCAGAAAGATTTCTGGCTCCCAGGTGTCTTTTATACAGGTAACGAGCTGAGATTAGGAGCACACTCTTAAAGGGAGTGCTCCTAATCTCAGCTTGTTACCTGTATAAAAGACACCTGTCCACAGAAGCAATCAATCAATCAGATTCCAAACTCTCCACCATGGCCAAGACCAAAGAGCTCTCCAAGGATGTCAGGGACAAGATTGTAGACGTACACAAGGCTGGAATGGGCTACAAGACCATCGCCAAGCAGCTTGGTGAGAAGGTGACAACAGTTGGTGCGATTATTCGCAAATGGAAGAAACACAAAATAACTGTCAATCACCCTCTGCCTGGGGCTCCATGCAAGATCTCACCTCGTGGAGTTGCATTGATCATGAGAATGGTGAGGAATTAGCCCAGAACTACACAGGAGGATCTTGTTAATGATCTCAAGGCAGCTGGGACCATAGTCACCAAAAAAACAATTGATAACACACTACGCCGTGAAGGACTGAAATCCTGCAGCGCCCGCAAGGTCCCCCTGCTCAAGAAAGCACATATACAGGGCCGTCTGAAGTTTGCCAATTAACATCTGAATGATTCAGAGGAGAACTGGGTGAAAGTGTTGTGGTCAGATGAGACCAAAATCGAGCTCTTTGGCATCAACTCAACTCGCCGTGTTTGGAGGAGGAGGAATGCTGCCTATGACCCCAAGAACACCCCATCCCCACTGTCAAACATGGAGGTGGAAACATTATGCTTTGGGGGTGTTTTTCTGCTAAGGGGACAGGACAACTTCACCGCATCAAAGGGACGATGGACAGGGCCATGTACCGTCAAATCTTGGGTGAGAACCTCCTTCCCTCCGCCAGGGCATTGAAAATGGGTCGTGGATGGGTATTCCAGCATGACAATGACCCAAAACACACGGCCAAGGCAACAAAGGAGTGGCTCAAGAAGAAGCACATTAAGGTCCTGGAGTGGCCTAGCCAGTTTCCAGACCTTAATCCCATAGAAAATCTGTGGAGGGAGTTGAAGGTTCGAGTTGCCAAACATCAGCCTCGAAACCATAATGACTTGGAGAAGATCTGCAAAGAGGAGTGGAAAAAAATCCCTCCTGAGATGTGTGCAAACCTGTTGGCCAACTACAAGAAACGTCTGACCTCTGTGATTGCCAACAAGGGTTTTGCCACCAAATACTAAGTCATGTTTTGCAGAGGGGTCAAATACTTATTTCCCTCATTAAAATGCAAATCAATTTATAACATTTTTGACATGCGTTTTTCTGGATTTTTTTGTTGTTATTCTGTCTCTCACTGTTAAAATAAACCTACCATTCAAATTATAGACTGATCATGTCTTTGTCAGTGGGCAAACGTACAAAATCAGCAGGGGATCAAATACTTTTTTCCCTCACTGTAAGTCCCTAGACTATAAGAAGTAACATTAGGCTCCTTTAGTCCATTATTGGGCTAGTGCGAAACATTCTTCAACAGTTTTCAAAGTATGTTTGCTTGGTGAGTATGGCAGGGTGTGACCTGATAAATATGGGTGGGACCTGATCAATATGGGTGTGACCATTTTAAATAGTGAAACTGGTGCAGCAGCACTCCACACACAATTACTGTCCGAGCCACCATAATCATAACCATAAACATATAATTGTTCGTTCAGATCTATAAATGTTGCACTTTGTGCCTTCCTGAACGTGACCCTGGTCTCCCAACCCATAGGCAAACTCAGAGGTTGAGTTCCTGCCCAACAAGATGTGCAGGCATTGCATTGCATCAACCAGTGGTTACAACTACGTCATCGACTGTGCAGTCTGGCATCAGATTGCTATATCATATGATGTGGTTAGCTGATATGTTAAATACCTATCCAGGCATTGTAAGATATGGCATTCATCTACAATGTAGTCAGACCAGAACTCGACCAAAAACCATCGCTCCAATAGGGTAGATCTTAACGAGCATTCCTAGGCAACAGTTGTTACAATACTATTAATCAATTTCTTATCTCATGATGCCACACAAATTAGGCAAGAATAATATGATTTTGCTCATGTGCCAAGGTGTGCCCCTTTCTGTCCAATTAAGTAATTTTTTGAAAATATAGCTATGTCCATTTAGAGGACCCCGTTTGACAACAACAACAAAAAACCTGAGGCAAAAGTTCTATATAGGCTCTTTAATCTGTGTCAGTGAAACTGTCACTAAATGATTTGGAGATTATCTGTAGTCAGATTACAAAAAAAATAGATCAAATATATTGGTAAAATCTATTTATTTTACATGTGAGAGATACAAATGGTCCCTATACCAAGCTATAGAAATATAAATACTGCTACTTCCCTACCAATAAGCAGTTATGCTCCGTTTGAAATTGATAGATTTCAGGAATCTGCCCTGGGACAGCACTGTTCTGGGATTCTGGCACTACCACATTCGATCAAACAGAGGTCCAACTCCAATCATCATCTCATTGATTTATGCATAAAAAGAGTGAAAGTGGAACCAAAGAGTTTAGATGTAAAGTGTATATATATATTTTTTACCTTTTCACCAAGATGGATGTTTTTTTCATATAAATAAATAATAAAATTTACCATTGCTTACAGCTAGCTGCTACACTGCCATCTATCTCACTTTCACCTCACAACTTCTCAACCCATAGAGATACAATTATATCTCTGACTGTGGTTCAACCCACTGACAGTCAATACTAAATGGAAATTGAAAGATTTATTGATGCAATTTTTTCATTATTCAAGATGTAGCTGTATATATTTAACACGAACGTAGTTGTTTATTTTATGAATGAGTGTCATCATGATCAAAGATATTCTAGCACCCGCCTCACGTGGATGCCATGGTACCGCCAAATCTTTGGTACGGCTGCGGATGATCTCTTGACTTCCTGTAAATAGTGCAATTTGTAGGTCTTATATCTCCGAAAAAGATACTTGACAGTTAGACTGTGACTGACTGTCAGTCACTCAGTTGGGTTTATCATTATTATTTTATTCGAAACATGAACATTTTAAGGTTGTCAAAAGATAAGGGACAGTTTATTTAGGTGGGATCATAGCGTGACGGATATCGGTATATCCCTCCGCTGTTTTTGTCTTCTTTCAAGACTGGTTTTGGTCTTTTCGCTGTTCGCAACGAAGAGAGAACCCGACATAGCTGAAAATCTCGTTTGAGAGAATATAAATACATTATTAGAATCGAAAAACAAATTGACAGGAGCTTTAATTCACACATTTATTGCAAGTATAATCGGCGCATATTGTATTTTTTTTAAGAGCGTTAGTTTTCTGTTTTAATAAGCATTAACTTACACAGCAAGCTAAGTTAGCTAGCTAGCTAACTTTTCATAGGTTTTGAATCACATGCGCGAGTAGCTGAGCTACGTTATCAAGTAGACGTTCGTTTTTTTTTAAATAGCTAGCTATCTCTAAATATTATCCAGTCGTCATTTGGTTGCAGTGTATATTATTTTTGAGATTTTAGGAATACACCACACACGTCGTTTATGGGATCATCATGTCAATGAAGCAGGCCGGTGGTAATCGCAAACCCGGCAGTGGTGCTGGCTCCTCTGGTGCCGGGGGAAGTGGCGGACGACAGAATTTGGGCAGGTCTGTGATTTATTCAGTCGACATTTTAACTAACAAATATTATCATTATGATGCCAACGTTCTGAAATTATCATTCGCTAACTACGCTCTTAATTACAGAAGTTGACATTTCCACGATAAGTGTCAAAACGTGTGTGGTGTTGGCCTGACTGCTAAACTAACCATACGTCGTTGGTGGTGGGGCAAGTTTCAGGCCAGCTAGTTAGCAAATTGGTCCATACTATTCGGGATCCTTGTGATGTCCCTACCCTAACCGTAACCCTTACTGTAACCTTTTTACATTTCAACGGGTAAGGGACGTCTCAAGGATCCCGGATAGCACGGACCCTAGCAAATTAGGCCTAAGAATGATGCTGGACACGGTCTCGTAGTACTGAATGTTCGAGCAGTAATGCGGTACTTAGCTAGCTAGCTAGTTTTCGTTTGGTAGTTCCATCTCTGTTTATGTTAGTGGTTAGTATTGAGAGCATAGCTAGCTAGCAGTGGTTTGTATCCTGTGCCACTGGCTTTGATGGATTATCCTGTCAAGAGGATGCATAAGCAACTAGAAATCAAACGTGTAGCTAGCTAGATATACCTTCTTCACTAGAATTAGCTAGGTTACTACTCTGTTAACGCTTTCTATCGTTAATTCGTGTAATTAATGCCATCATTGCATCAGCGTCAAATGGATAAGTCAGTATAGTAAAGGTGGGCAGGACATCACCACACAGCGTTTTGCCTTTAATTCTTGTTGCGAGATGGAAGTTATGACACTGACGATTGCAAGTCAATATTGCCAAACTAGTTTGTTACCTTCTTGTTTTGGAGTCACAGCAACAATGTTGCAATCATTTTAAAGTTGTACGTGTGTGCAAGTCTGTAAAAGAAAAGGGGGTTTGTGGTGAAGATATAATTTAGAGACCGACGGCCTTTCAACCTTGACGTTTTAGTTGCTGCATGTGTAAAATTGTGCCCTTGAAACATGACTTCTGTAAGTACTACCGTTAACTTGATGGGCTGTATTTCAGCAACATTTCAGTCTATTTTGATAGCAAACTATTTTGAAGGTAGGGACAGTACGTACTAGCGTTACATATGTGTTTTTTGTCTAACAACAATAGTCATATTCCACACGTCGGAATCCTGAGCCATGCATTATAGACATTAAAACCAGCCATGCAGATATAAACTCTGTCATCATATGGGCCAGGGGGGCAAACTGAAATTATTTCAGTAATGTATTTCCTAATCCAGAAGTAAATTATTGTGTGGGGAAAGCGAAGTATCCACTGCACAGCTAGTGAAAATATCTAGCCGGTCATATTTCTAGTGAAATTTACCCATATGATTCTTTATCGCTACAGGGCATGCGAGGTAAAACTCATTAAAGATGCTTAGTGTTTATTTGACTGTGGAAAGACTCATCATACACTGCATTTATATATTTCGTTTGCTTCACAGAATCAGCAATGAGTAGGCGCTATTGCTGTCATTTTGAGGATTATAATGATAATATTGACTATGATTTTTTTTGTCTTTAAGGGGAAGGCTTAGTGTCAAAGGACCTTCAGCAGCGGTAAGTTAATGGTTTCATTATTTATCATTGTTTGATTTAGATTTTTCAGTCCCATTATTTGAATTAGGCTTGTGATGTTGGCAGCTAATTATGTTTTGTGTCACTATCTAGGCTATCATATTTACTATTGTTTTTTTTATTTATGGGAGAAAAACCCCCCAGAATACTGGTACACAGTTGTCTGTTTGTCACAGGCTTCTTTGTCCACAATATTTTAACTTTTTCTTTGATGGCGCTATTTTGCCATGGGCTCTCAGGTTTGAATTGCATTATCAATATTTTGTCTTTCAGGTTGTCTGTAATGGTGTATATGCAAACATGAGGATGGTCCATGTCTTGACATCAGTAGTGGTATGTTCCCACCTCCTGTTATTATCCTTAGTTCCCCGATCACTTGATGCATTAAGGCTTGCAACAGCAATTTGTTTTTGAATTGAAACTAATTGAGAACTGATCTCTAGACTGAGGTAGCAGAGCAAGGTACTGTGTATGTTGGTTGTGTCCCCACTCCCCAAAGCAGGGGAAATACTGGACAAAGCTTTTTTTGGTTAACGTCACTGGAAAGCTGATGACGGCACACTACAAAGAGCTGTCGACTTGTTGAAGCATATCAAGCAAGCAACTGTGACCTGTACCTCATGTTGTTTTCCCAAAAACCTTCACTTGCGATAATTAAGCCATGTGTGATTGACAGATTATGTTTTAATTAAGAGGCATATGTTTTTAGGAGTGAACTCTTTGTTTAAATGTGTTGTTCAGTCTGCCAATGGAGATACTTCCTAGCAGCAAGTCAATGGTCTTAGTTGAGTGAAACATAACCGCACAACTCGTGTGTATGACGATGATGACTGAGTGAAATATTTTTTCCCCCTCATTTGCAGGGAACCAATTGTGAACTGAAAGTAAAAAGTGGAATCGTTTATGACGGAGTGTTTAAAACATACAGCCCAGAGGTAAGGACAAGGATCATGTAAAGCAATGTCAAAGCCACGTTTTTCCGATTGGGTGACAATAAGTAAATTAATTATTGTGGCTAGAGCTGTGTTGTATGACCTGGTCTTTTGTAGCTCAGTTGGTAGAGCATGGTGCTTGTAGCTCCAGGGTAGTGGGTTCGATTCCCAGGACCACCCATATGTAAAATGTAAGCACGCATGACTGTACGTTGCTTTTGGTAAAAGCGTCTGCTAAATTATTATTATATTACCTGAGGCCCAGCATATTCAATCTTCCTTGGTAACATAATAGGAGGGTTACACAAATAAGTGTGCCTTGCATGCAACATACGGTTCAAGTTTAACAGCCTTGTTGTCCATTTATTTAAGGTAAATGTATTGCATGGCTCAGTTAATGACGCAGTGTTCATAATCTCACATCGCACACATAAAACCCAAATAAATATAAAATAGAACCATGTATTCCCGTCAGGGAGTAGGCTAACCTAAGCGTTTACAGCAAGAGTTGATGGAGCTCTCTACTTCACCACTCTTTGTCCCCCCCAGTGTGACCTGGTTCTGGATGCGGCCCACAGAAAGAGTCCTGGGTCCAGCGTAGGCCTGCGACAGGAAGACCTCGTGGAGAGCATCATCTTCAAGGCTTCCGACGTGGTGGTGGTGCATTTCAGAGACGTGGACTTCAATTTTGCCAGAAAAGGTACAGCCTACTGTTAAATATAGGTTAAATAAAAATGCAATCAAATACTGTCAAGACCTATACACTCCAGATTGTAACTGGCCCCTTAAAGACATAGCTACACCTACTAAGTTTACTTTAGTTGGCTGGATGCACAAGTAAATGCTTATTTATTGGCCAATACAAAGATTGCCCATCCCTCCTATGTGAATTGTTGTCATGTCATAGAAGCAGAGCCAAGGACTAGATCATGTGCTTGAATGCTCCCTCTGTGGCCAGTCATTGAGTAATAATGTGAAATATTGATTGCTCCGAATGTCTCCCAGGCACTGCAGGGGTACTCAATAAGGCTGAGTAAATCCAATACATCTATATTCCCTCTAAACCTGTCAGGACCCATACGCTCCACAGTGAGCTACAATAGACTTTCTAGGAGTTAGTATTGTAATCAAATCAACTAGTGAAGTGGCACTGTGTGAAGTAGAGATGGGTTAGATCAGGGCTTCCCCACAGCCAATCCTGAAGCATCCCTGGGTGTCCAGGTTCTTGTTGTAGCCAACCCAGTTTCTAGCTGACAAATAGGGAAGGCCATGTGTAAAATGCATACAGTATCTCCAAAATGTCATTGCCATATATTGCACTGGGCTAAGTCTCAGCTAGTGCATCGGCAACCCATTTGTGTTGTAGAGGAAAGAAATGTAGCTGTGTGGTTGGCATGGAAACATAAATATATACACAGTGGTGCTTCAGGAAAGAGGTTGGGAACCCCAGAGTTAGGCTACCTGTCTTCTCTCAACTGACTCTCTCTTCCATGTGTTTCTCTTCAAATGGGTGTAGTCTCTACTGACACAGGTAATATGCTGTTTTCTGCTCTTGCACCTTTTTTTTTTTTGGTTGACACATACACATGTTGATTTTGATGGTAAGGGACTAAACAGTAAGACCTCAAAAGATTTGAGGAAATTCAGTGTAAGGGTCCTCTGTAGAGCATGGCTCTTGCAACGGCCAGGAGAGTGGGTTCGATTCCCAGGACCACCCATACACAATGTTCCCTCTAAGCTGCTCCCCGGGACTGCCGCACAGAACAAATATCAGCCCGCGCAGAGAAGCACAAGATTGAACGTCACTCAACTTTCTAGAGTTTTAGTTAACACTATCAACATTTCCCTTTACTGTGGGAATTGTGATCGAATCAATGCAATATTAGCCGCTTTCAATGCAACATACCGAAACACAACAAACTATGTGAGACTTGGTATGCAAAACGAACTATGCAAGATATTTTGTTGTAGGCAGAACGCATCAGAGTAGGATTCTATTGCATTGACACGCACGACTCAGCCCGTACTCTACACAGACCGTTGCGGCATAACCAATCGGAGCTGCAGTAGGCCTATATGCAAATAGACCATTGCTATATGGATCTGTGCAATTCACTTTGAACTGGACTGTGTTTACAGCATGAGCGGTCATGAGTAGATGTGCTTGTTTTGAGATCAAAGCGAGGGCTGCATGTCGCCACGTGTGCACATTTGTTCATATCCTTTGCTAGTTAGTGAGGTATTACCCCAGTTATAGATCATTTGTAGTCAGCAATGGAGTGATTGCTTCCTACAAGAGCACAAAACGTGTACATTTCTAGACATCTTTGAAAAGCAAGTTGGCTAAAGAGCATTTTTTTTTGTCTTAAAGGGGCAGTGTTGTACACTGCTCAAAAAAATAAAGGGAACACTTAAATAACACAATGTAACTCCAAGTCAATCACACTTCTGTGAAATCAAACTGTCCACTTAGGAAGCAACACTGATTGACAATAAATTTCACATGCTGTTGTGCAAATGGAATAGACAACAGGTGGAAATTATAGGCAATTAGCAAGACACCCCCAATAAAGGACTGGTTTTGCAGGTGGTGACCACAGACCACTTCTCAGTTCCTATGCTTCCTGGCTGATGTTTTGGTCACTTTTGAATGCTGGCGGTGCTTTCACTCTAGTGGTAGCATGAGACGGAGTCTACAACCCACACAAGTGGCTCAGGTAGTGCAGCTCATCCAGGATGGCACATCAATGCGAGCTGTGGCAAGAAGGTTTGCTGTGTCTGTCAGCATAGTGTCCAGAGCATGGAGGCGCTACAAGGAGGCAGGCCAGTACATCAGGAGACATGAAGGAGGCCGTAGGAGGGCAACAACCCAGCAGCAGGACTGCTACCTCCGCCTTTGTGCAATGAGGAGCAGGAGGAGCACTGCCAGAGCCCTGCAAAATGACCTCCAGCAGGCCACAAATGTGCATGTGTCTGCTCAAACGGTCAGAAACAGACTCCATGAGGGTGGTATGAGGGCCCGACATCCACAGGAGGGGGTTGTGGTTACAGCCCAACACCGTGCAGGACGTTTGGCATTTGCCAGAGAACACCAAGATTGGCAAATTCACCACTGGCGCCCTGTGCTCTTCACAGATGAAAGCAGGTTCACACTGAGCACATGTGACAGAACGTTCTGCTGCCTGCAACATCTCCAGCATGACTGGTTTGGCGGTGGGTCAGTCATGGTGTGGGGTGGCATTTCTTTGGGGAGCCGCACAGCCCTCATGTGCTCGCCAGAGGTAGCCTGACTGCCATTAGGTACCGAGATGAGATCCTCAGACCCCTTGTGAGACCATATGCTGGTGCGGTTGGCCCTGGGTTCCTCTTAATGCAAGACAATGCTAGACCTCATGTGGCTGGAGTATGTCAGCAGTTCCTGCAAGAGGAAGGCATTGATGCTATGGACTGGCCCGCCCGTTCCCCAGACCTGAATCCAATTGAGCACATCTGGGACATCATGTCTCGCTCCATCCACCAACGCCACGTTGCACCACAGACTGTCCAGGAGTTGGCGGATGCTTTAGTCCAGGTCTGGGAGGAGATCCCTCAGGAGACCATCCACCACCTCATCAGGAGCATGCCCAGGCGTTGTAGGGAGGTCATACAGGCACGTGGAGGCCACACACACTACTGAGCCTCATTTTGACTTGTTTTAAGGACATTACATCAAAGTTGGATCAGCCTGTAGTGTGGTTTTCCACTTTAAATTTGAGGGTGACTCCAAATCCAGACCTCCATGGGTTGATACATTTGATTTCCATTGATAATTTTTGTGTGATTTTGTTGTCCGCACATTCAACTATGGAAAGAAAAAAGTATTTAATAAGATTATTTCATTCATTCAGATCTAGGATGTGTTATTTTAGTGTTCCCTTTATTTTTTTGAGCAGTGTATTTTGAGACGTCTTGAATAAGCTAAGTAGCCAACAGGCAGAGGGCAGCATCATTTGTCTGATTCTCTATAATAATGGTATGGGAACAATAATGCATTTTATTTTGTAAAGTGGTTTCTTGCATCAAACAACACATTTTCAGTCAACTTGTCTGAAGGACAAGTGGATAAGCAGGTTAATGTCAAGCTCTGCATGTTTTTTTCAAAAGTCTCATGGAATGTAGGCCTACATTGAACACCACACATTGGCTGCTACTGTAGGCTGAATGATAGAACAGCTATTTCCATGTTAAAATGTTATGGGATGCATTCTCTCCACTCTGGTAGGCCTACATTATGATCAAATAGCCACAGTAGCCTACTTGAACACTGTCTGAAACTAACTCACAGTTCACAGTAAACTCGCACTGGAAGTTGCACAGAATTTTCACAACATTCAAGTTTGCGCTCTGCAGACCTGAAATGTGTCAACATTTTTTTAAACTAAGTTTCTTTGGATAAAAGCGTCTGCTAGATGGCATATATTATAAGGGTCAATCCTCATATAGGGCTTGTTTCAACCAGACCCCTTGTCAGAAGCATGTATTTTAATGGAGGACCCATCCAAATGTCTTGATTCTCTAAAGAGCTTTATTGTCTAAGAAAAGCGAGAGCGGGTGATTTCAGAAACTAAGTGATGTGGTTGAATCTATTGAATAAATGCAACTGAAACACATAAGTAATTACACAGCTCTGCAACACAAAGATTATGTATTGTGCTGAAATGACATTCTCATCTGATCTCGCGTATAAAAAGGACTTGTGCAGTCTCAAATATTCCTTTTTATAATTAAATCATTCTGCCTGATCACATTTCCAGGCAGACCAGAAGTCATATTTTTCATGTTATGACTGCAATCTAAGTGCATGTTATTTATATATATATATTTGCTTACCATAATTGATTTCTGTACTCATTCTCCCTAATGTCAACCCTATGATTCTGCTACTTCTGTGTTGTGACCGTCTCTAATGGTTAGCCTGACATGATCACTGCCAAAGCAAAGAGTGCACCTGGCTCTTAGAACGTCAGGTCATGTGCTGTGTCTGTGTTACCTCGACACCTGCACAGTCAACATTTACCTGTGCGTGTGCCTGCTCTCGTGTCTGTGTGACCCCCTCAGTGTTTGCATGCATGTCTGCTAAATATTAATGTGTGTGTTATAATGTGTAGATAACTTCACGGACACTGCAGTGGGCGGCAGAATCAACGGGGAACACAAGGAGAAGGACCTGGAGCCGTGGGATGGAGGGCGGCAGCAGCACGTGGTCTCAGGCAGCCTGGAGTCTCTGGACACAGACGTGGTATTGCTTTCAATTTAGTGCTCTGCATGGACTGTATCTGCTGCTGTGGGTGAAGTTGCCCCTAGACGCTGATCTGGGAATCAATTTGGTATTTTACACACTAATGGTTAAAGGGATACTTTGGGATTTTGGCAATGAGGTCCTTTGTCTACTTCCCCAGAGTCAGATGAACTCCTTATGTCTGTGTCCAGTATGAAGGAAATTGGAGGTAGTTTTGCCAGCCAATGCTAACTAGCGTTAGCGCAATGACTGGAAGTCTATGGTAGCATCTGACTCTGGGGAAGTAGATCAATCCTGAAGTTTCCCTTTAAGGTTAGGATTGAGGGAGGGGAAGCTGATCCTAGATCTGGAGCTAGGCGAAACTTCACCCGGAGCATCTGCTGCTCTTCCACTCAGTTTATATAATCTGACCAAAAGCCTCTGTCTCTCTGTCTCTCTGCCTCTCTCTCTGCCTCTCTCTCTGTCTCTCTGCCTCTCTCTCTGTCTCTCTGCCTCTCTCTCGCTCTCTGCCTCTCTCGCTCTCTGCCTCTCTCTCGCTCTCTGCCTCTCTGCCTCTCTCTCGCTCTCTGCCTCGCTCTCTGCCTCTCTGCCTCGCTCTCTGCCTCTCTCTCTCTCTCTCTCTCTCTCTCTCTCTCTGCCTCTCTCTCTCTCGCTCTGCCTCTCTCTCTCTTTCTTTCTCTCTAGTCAAATGGCTGGGACCCGAGTGACATGTTCAAGTACAACGAAGAGCAGTATGGCATCAAGTCGACCTACGACAGCAGCCTGTCCACCTACACGTAAGTAGCTCCCACCTCTCTTCCTACAGGCACGGCCAGGTTTATCAAGGAGGAACTCTCCTCATCCACTACCAATGTGTAGCACCCACCTTGCTTTGGGGACAGGGATGTGTGTGTGTGTCTAAGGTTTGCCCTATGCTGTGCTCCACCATGCAGGGTTGCCCTGGAGCGGGATAACTCTGAGGAGTTTCTGAAGCGGGAGGCGCGGGCAGCCCAACTGGCGGAGGAGATCGAGGCCAGCTCCACCTACAAGTCCCGCGTGGCCCTGGAGAATGAGGAGCGCAGCGAGGAGGAGAAGTACACCGCTGTGGTGCGCGGAGAGAGGGAGCAGCACACACTCAACAGGTGGGTCTCTGAGGGGATGATTAGTTGATGCTAGCGTCGATAAATCGAATGTTCGTCTGTCACTCGCATCCATGTTCAGCTGCGACTCGCCTCTTTCATCACGCATGGCCAACATACTGGCATACTGCAGTGTCTTCAAGCTCTCGTTCAATTGTGGACATTGCAGAGGCAGGCTGTTTGCAGGATTCCACCACCAATTCAAACGTCTGGTTTGACATTGTGGTAGTTGCATTCGTATTTAACTTGTTCTCCTGATCTCTCCATAGAGAAAACAAGTACATTCCCCCGGGTCAGAGGAACAGAGAGGGGATGTCTTGGGGAGCGGGTCGTCAGAACTCCCCCAGGTTGGCCCAGAGCAGCAGCGGGCCTCCCCGGCCAGGTCTCCACGACTACAGCCCCAGCTCTGGAGCCGACCAGCGGGTTGTCAACGGCGGTAAGGACCCCCGGCACCCTGGTTCATCCTGGAGCATGGAACAATATCAAATCAAATTGTATTTGTCACATGCCCTATTCATACGGGACTAGTATTACTAGAGAACGTTGGTTATGTAATTATTACCCCAGAATGTCTGTTATTCCAGAGAACGATTCGTACGGGATTAGTGTTTTCCAAACTGCCCGCTGTAATTCTTATGACTGAAGGCTGGAGTTTTTTTTTTTCTAGGCGTGAAGATATTTCAAGAAGTCCAGGCGACAACAGGCTACACTGATAACTTGAGTTTGGTTTCTAAACCATACTAAACGATCTTTGGTATAGTGTCACCATAATATTTGAATTGAGGAAGTGTGATCATAAGGATTAGGATATTTCACGTCCTAAATGACCCCAGCCTTCAGGTGGGAGCTAAACAATGCACTTGCACTTGAGATGCGTTTTAAGGCTATGGATGAGAAAGTGAACTTGTCATTTCAAAACGTTTAGGTCCGTTGTATGCTGCTTTGCCATCTATTAACAGCAAGGGTTGCATTAAATAGGCTATATGTTTTATTACTGATGCATTTGGCCAATATTCAATTCATACACACAACATATAAAGAAAAGCAATCACTGTGGAAGTTGATAAATGTAGGCCATTCATATATATCTTATGCGCAGCACTTAGTTCAAATTATCCAATCAGTTATTGTTTTCTTGCTCAAACCGCGAGCAACACCTGTCAAACTCTGACATTTCTCTGAAAACACAGCGATGTCGATTCGCACGGGACTAGTATTATCAGAGGACCTTGGAGTTCGCCAAAAAACAGTAGGATATTCTGGCTGGAATTGTTACTGTCCTGCCATGTCAGATTCGGACGGGACTAAAATGACGGTGTTTTGTGCTTGTGCACATAATTCCATTACCCAACTTCCCCCCAGTAAAACTAGGGCTTAACAGTGAAACGCTTACACTGCACAATGACTGAATGAGAAGGCACTATTGTCAAACCCAGAGGATGTCTCCGTGTCAGATCACCCTAAATGGGTTGTTACAGGCATCCTGTAGAGATCCGTTGTGTGGACATCGCTTTGGCTGTTTTTTATCCTGAATTGACCCAATCCCTAGTTTTGTTTTCAACCTCCTTCTTTTTAGTTAAGCTGTATGCTCATGGAGTAGGTTTGTATTGTAACTTCTAACTGGTCTTTAGACTACAACTGTAGGATCACCTGTAGGATTTGTTAGTCTGACACAGATTAAGGCTATGCCTAGTCCTGGATTATCTCCATGGATTGTGTTTTTTAGTCCAGGCCAATGTTTGAAACTGGCCGTAGTGAGTTTGGGCTTGAGTTTCAGACACTAGTACTCTGTAAGGATCATGTAATCATTCTCATCCCCAAAACATCATTGCGTGTTTCTCTCTCTACATTAACAATTTGAATGTCAATTCAGTTTAATTTCCTGAGTTGTCATCTTGTTCTGCGTCTTAACTTTCTTTTACCCTTTTCAAGTTTATTCTTCACTATGCTGTTTATATCCCTCTCAAGCTGCTGACCCCCTCTCCTCCTCCTGCCTTTTCCTCGTGTACCCATTCCTCCTCTTTACCCCTCTCACCTTATTATTAGTCCTCTTTCTGTCCTTGCTCCCTCTTGTTTCCCCTTATTTCTCCTCCTCTGTTCATTCTCATTTGTCCTTATCAGGTGCCACCTCCTGCCCATCGCCCTCCTCCCGCTACCAGTCAGGCCCCTCCCCTCTCCCACCCAGGGCGGCCACGCCCACCCGGCCTCCCTCCAGACCCCCCTCGCGGCCCTCCCGGCCCCCGTCTCACCCCTCTGCTCACGGCTCTCCAGCTCCCATCTCCACTATGCCCAGTAGACGCATGTCCTCCGAAGGTAGCTACCTCCCTCGTAACAAAGTGGTGAACACACAGAGCCAAGTGCACCGCTGGGCTCGCTGTGCTGCTGATGTCTCACTAATGTCCTGCTACAAGACGCTGCTTTTGAATTGAGTAGCAGCTTTGGACTTTCTTCGTTGCCCTACCTCCACTTTCCTCCTCTCTCTCGCTCCTGCTCTCTCGATCTCTCTCTTTTCTCCCCCCCCTCTCTCTCTCTCTCGCGCTCCTCAACTTGCACACATTGCATTGTGGTGTGTATTGTGTGGTGTTGGTCACTCATGGCAGTCACTCTCTCCAGTAACACTCCCATGGTGTTGCATTGTGGTGTGTATTGTGTGGTGTTGGTCACTCATGGCAGTCACTCTCTCCAGTAACACTCCCATGGTGTTGCATTGAAACCAGGAGGCACTGGTCAAAGGCTTGTCACAGACTTGAGTGCCTATGTCCACTGGGTGCATGGATGTATTGGTGAAGGAAAGATGGTGTATGTATTCATGCCGTTTTTCATCGACATTCCTCAATCATTTTGTAGTGTCTTCTGTGGTAAGTAGCTGTTAGTGCAGTCCACCTAGCAGCATATCGTTTGTGGTACTAGTGGCTGATAACAGTCCCTACCTGGGCTCCTTCTAGATAAATGATGTGATGTCTCACAACCATCTCTCTCCCTCCAGGCCCTCCCAGGATGTCCCCAAAGACACAGCGTACCCCCCGCACCCACAGAGTTCCCCCCGGGAGTAGAGTTCCCCCGGGAGGTGACTTCATGTCCCATAATGCTCCAGGAGAGGTACCGGTGCCCCCGGCTACCCGCAGCAGCTCATCTGGTGGCACCTGGTCTTCGGTGGTCAGCGGAGGTAAGAAACTCCAATCTGTCCTGCAGGACTGGGATGGAAATGACACCTGGCAAAATTGCTTGGATTGTTACTCAAATAGCCACTGTGTGGTCGTATTACATAGACAGATGGTATGCCTAGGGTTGTGGTGGTCATAAAATTGTCAGCCGTTAATTGTCACGCAAATGACTGCCGGTCTCAAGGCAACATGTTTAGCATCTCAGGTTCCATGCATAAAAGCTGCTGATGCGCGCCTTTGGAACATCCACATTTTATAAATCAATTTAATATAGCCTACATCGTCACAATAACATGAATTATTTAGTTGTGATAGGCCTATTAAACCTGGGAATGTCTTTGAAATCAAAACATAAGGGTTGCAAGATGAGACTCTGTTGATGATTTGGAAACATACGCAAAAAAACGTCATGCCCTCTCATCCTTCCCTCGGAGAGACAATTGCTTTGCTGATCTGCTTGTGTGACTAGCAAGTTAGGGGATATCTAATCAATGGAAGATGGCATTAAAATGACAGAATTAAAAGTGAAATGAGAAAGGCTACAATGACTAAAAGCCAACAGGTAGGCTGCTATTTAGGCTATAATCTGAATGGAGTTGTGATGTGTAGGCTAAATGTAGGATGGTGAGAAGCGAAGTAACGTTATGGCTAGCCTCAATTGGCCAAGTTGGCTATCTTCTCTCGGTTTGATGTTATCGGATTGGATGATAACTAGCAAGAAGTTAGTTTAGGGCGAGATAACAGTAGTTACGGTCTCCCTCCGTGCCAGTCTCCTGAGTCCCGTGTCTTACTCGCACATTCCCCCACACACCGCGCGGCAGGTAGCCTAGCTGTTAAGAGCGTTGGGCCAGTAACCGAAAGGTCGCTGGTTCGAATCCTCGAGCCGGCAAGGTAGACAAATCTGCCGTTCTGCCCTTGAGCAAGGCAATTAACCCCCGACAACAACTGCTCCCCAGGCATCGATGATGTCGATTTAAAGGAAAGGTTCACCCATTTTTTGAATGTTATTTTGTTTTTGTGCATCTGAGTGATGTTCTATCGATATCCTGGGTCATTTCATGTTTTCATGTGTATCTGCGTTATTGGGGTTCAAGCAGGCAGAAATCCTGCCGGTTTGACGTAGCACCAGGATAAAGTCGCTCTCACTACACTAGAAGTTAATAGGAATATGACTTTTAGATTGTGAAAACGTCTATCATGCATGTCAGATTTCAATACGATGTCATAACTCTGATGCCTTCTCTCGAGTGAGCCATTGATCATATTTTTTGCGATATTCCTACCTCGAGAAATGTGTAATTTAATGGAGGGCATTGCACATTTTTCCTATGTGTCTGCCTCTTTAGTCCAGGGTGCATTGCATGGTGCTGTTGCCAGAGATATTATAGAAAGGAGATAGGAATCCAATGAAGGAATGTATAACACCCACCCAGCAGACTGTCAACTAATTGTGTTCACGTTGTCATGCAGCGTCACGCGGTTGCTAAGCTAATTGTCACGCAATCCCTTAATATAATATATAATATGCCATTTAGCAGACGCTTTTATCCAAAGCGACTTACAGTCCCTTCTCAAAGTCAGTGTATATGTCAAAGAACGTGCCTATTTTCCTCGAAGGTACGTAATTCACGATTCCAAAGCTATATGATACTACAGATAGCACGATAATTATCTCACATCTTGTAAAAGATTTGTAATGTTGTACTTCTTGATGAAATTCGTGCTTATGTTGGGTTTTTGAGCTAGCGCCCAATAGACTCCCATTCATTCCTTGAAGGAGAATGCTCCTTGCCCCTGAATTGCCCAGAATGCACTGCGCGGTCCATTGATGTAGCATGGGCAACATTTCCCCATCTCCTCAAAAGTATATCTGCTATTGCGAATGTTAGACTCCACTCTGAGGCACATTGATCTGCAGGTTGAACATGGTAAGAGTGCAGTTTGTTTAGGCAATTTTAAAGCTAACTAGCTACGTTATATGCTGATATTGTCTTTGGTATTAATGTGTGTAGCTACGTTTGCTAGCTAGCTAGCCAGCCAGCCCATAGAGAGAGCAATGCATTGTGGGATTTTGTAGTTGACTTGAGCTGCAACAGATTTCAACAATGATTTTCCATGTTGCTACCAACCTTATAACGCCAAAATGAAAAATGTGTTCACCAAAAATAAAGGAATTAGTGATTTGGGGTGGATTTTTCCTTTAAGGCAGCCCCTGCACCTCTGATTCAGAGGGGTTGGGTTAAATGCGTGAGACACATTTCGGTTGAATGCATTCAGTTGTGCAACTGACTAGGTATCCCCCTTTCCTTTCCTTAATATCCCTGTGCCTCACATTTTAGAGCTGCGTTGATGCTGCAGTCCTTTAAAGTGGTCTGCTGATACTAGGGGGGCTCTCCCTGACCTTGCTCAAGGGCAGAACGGCAGATCTTGCCGGCTCGGGGATTCAAACCAGCGACCTTTCGCTTACTGGCCCAACACTCGCTCTGTGATTTTCTCTTTGACTCTCCCTTTCTGTAATGGTTCCGGTTTAATAAAATAGCAAAACAATTGGCTTTTCTGCTGGTTCCCTCATTCGCATTGGACCGGTTGTCCTTTAGATTCTTTCGGGCTTTAAAAATGTATTTATGCATATTGGGTCCGGGGCTTTCTCGTGTCTATTTCGGAACGGGAGCTCTAACTCCCATCACAATTGTCCTCATCATTCAGATTATTCAAATTAAATCATGAAGTGTTAGAGGGGCAATGGAGCGCTGAGTACAAGGCCATTAGAGGGGTGGTAGGCTACCCATCAGGGCCATTCATTTGCGCAGTTTTGGATGGGATTACCATGACCAACGGTTACAGGGAATTTGACTGCGGTTATGACTGGTGACTGCCAGTGTGGTGGTAATACAGTCACCGCGACAGCCCTAGGTAGACCAAAGACACATTTCCATTCTGTGTAAACTTAATGGACAATAGAATGTTCTCATCTTAGCTGTGAAGTCTATGTAGTGTAAGAGATGTAGCTCTTTGGGACTTGTGTAGGTTAACGGTGTTTGTTGCTCTCGTCTGTAGCACACAGACCTCGCTCCCCTCGGCAGAACAGCATGGGCGGGGCCTCCCCTGGTCCCTCGCCCCAGACTGGGTCCGCTTCCGTGGAACCTGTTACCACGCCAATGTCAGCTTCCTCACCCGCTGCTGCTAGCCCCGCCCCCAATATGGCTGCCACCTCAGTAGAGGGTAAGTCTGTTTGCCACCAACATCCATACTCCTATTTTTTTTCTGGCTGTATGCTCTGAATCAGCGTCAAACTTAAGAATCTGTCACTTTTTCATATTAAAAGCAGGCAATAGAGCACCGTCTGAAACAAGGCACTTGACGATACAAATGACTTCTTTCCCCTTCTTTCTTCCCTTAATATAGTGAAAGATTCTCGGATCCAGGAGACGAGACAGAACTCTCCTACGGCCAACAAGGAGAACGTGAAACCCCTGGAGAGCCCCCCTAGTATCAGCAGACCACTCTCTAAAGGTCTGCAGCATGGATGCAGCTCACATTTTAGGCGGATTCAATTGTATTGTCTCAAATGCAACTACATTTCTGTATTGGTGAAATTATCGATGTCTCTCACTCTCTCTCTGTAGGACCCCCCTCCATGGCACCAGACCACAGAAAACAAATAGACAACTTAAAGAAATTTAGTGTAGATTTTAGGGTAAGTTAGGTGTCCTCACTGTCATGCATTTATGTAAGTCACAGAAATTGTCAAAGTATCTTCGTGTTAGTACAGCCATCTAAAACTCTGTCATCTCGTTCTCGCTCGGTCTCTCTCACAGTTGCAGTCCAGCTCTAACCCAGACCCACAGTTTCAGCAGATGATGACTAAGCCTCCGCGGGACGCAGGAGAGAAGTCCAAGGAGCTTCCTCTGGACAAGGGGTCGGAGGAGGGCCCAGTGGTCCCCGCCGGGGGCAACAAGCCAGACAGCCCTGGCACACCATCCTCTACCCTCTGTCCCGCCCCGGAGCAGAACAGGGGGCCTGACGTGACCTCGCAGGGCGTCCAGACGTCTGCACCCACCTTCAGCGGAGGAGCCAAGCTTGAAGACAAGGAAGAGGATGATCCAGAGTGAGTGTCGTGGCCATGCATCGGTTCCATTTGAGTTGGTGTTTGAGAGTGGGCCTTTTTGAGGGCAGTTACAAATGAAGGAGTGCAGCTTTAAACAACAGCCGACCTGAGAAAAATTGATCATCCTGGAACTCTAGCGTTGCAGAATAAATGATTTTCTGTCTTATGTTAATGTGTTCTTTTTTTGCGCTCCGCAGTCAAATCAGAAAGTCGACTCTCAATCCTAATGCCCACGAGTTCAAACCCAGGGTCTACACTCCTCAGGTCAGTTTGACTCCCCTCATAGGCTACCTCATCTGTTTCTGCTGTTTGACATCTCTGCTTGAGACCAATATTCCTTTTGAAGACGTAAAGACTTTGTTTGTAATTGAGAAGACCTTGTAATAAAGTTTCTGTGTGTGGATGTGCAGCCCAAGCCGGCCACCACCCCGACCCCCCCTCGGCCCCAAGGCCAGCCCAGCCCCTCCATCATGGTGCAGCAGCCTCAACAGGTCTACAGCCAGACGGTCTGCTTCCCCCAGATGTACCCTCTGACCCCTGTCAGCCCTGGAGTCCAGGTGAGACCACACCCCTGCATGCCCCCACAACTCTGGCAACTCAGAAGAATAATACTTGTGGAAGCTGAGACATCCCCATGAAATTATATAATTGGTGTATGATTGGCATGCAGAGTTGCTAAGCAGCATGGAAGATGGTCCTAAACTATTTAGTTGACCCTCCTTTCACCTCATCCCTCACTTATCTCCTGCGCTCTGTCTCTCTCTGTGTGTGTGGTACAACAAGAAGGAACACAGGGTTTTTTCTGCGTAGGAAAGCCTTGGGCGGGCTGACTAAGTGTTTTTTTTCGGGCCACTTATGTCCAAACAGTGTAAAAAAAATAAAAAATACAGGAAAATGTTTTCAATGTAAACTTAAACAACTAAAACCAGATATAAAGTACAGTATGTAGAAACAATAATGGACCTCCTATATATATTTAAAAAATAAGTCTGACAGTCGGGGAGAATCAAATTCCCCAAATGATGCATTCAGGAGTATCTTTGTCATGGCATCGGGCCCACATTGATTTTGTTACGTTTGAGTCACTCAAATACCATAAGCCATGGCAAGATGTGTAGACTGCAGTAAATTAGCTATATAACAGCTACATTTTGTCATTGCGGCCAATGGGACCAGTGACACGCCCACGCCCACCACCTAAGCTCCATTTTTGACCCAGAAAAAACCCTGGAATGTATCATTCTCAACCAAAGGAATCACCTTTTGGTCTTTTGCTTCACTACTATCAGTGTTTTGTAGTTTGGGGGTATTTGTGATCCATCTGTCCTTGGATATGCAGTTGTGGCATGCACATGTTAGAGGACCCCTCTTCTTACTATGGCCTGACTGGTCACTGTTGCACCATTCCACAGCTGTTTACTCACTGTCTAAAGTCACCTAGAGTAGCCTACTGCTGCTTTGTATTGGTTTGTGACATTTCGGGAGACTTCAGGTGGGTTTGAGTCGAGCTTGAATTGAGTATCTTCTCTTTAAACATTTTTTTTTAAATTACTTCGGTGTACAGTAGCATTGTCTTGATGCTAGTACTGTTTTGGTATAGGCCAGTTGGGAGTAATGTAGAACTCGGGAGTGAATGCAGATTGTGAGACTAGTGAATCCGTTGTGAACGATGTAATTGTGTGATGGAGATCTCTGAAGTCTGTACTTGCGCAGTCTCCAAAAGCACAATCTGCCAAATAGTGATTTATTGTAATAAAATCTATTTTGGTCTTGAAGTTGCTATAGGAAGTTGTTGGTGATCCAACAGTCACATGAGAGAGAAACATTTCTAGTTAAAGACTAAAGAATGGTGGTTTTGTTTTTTTTCTCCTTTTCCTCTCTCCATTAGAAAAGCGTTATCTGGAAGGTTTGTGCATTTCTTAAGCTTTCTACTCTTTTCTTCCCTTTGATGTTCTGCTTGCTTGAAATTGTCCCATCAGATGTTGGTTTGCCAATTTCTTATTGCAGTTGTTTCCAGTTGTCATCATGAACAGGACGAGACCTCATCTTTGTTTTAACAGCTTTCTTAGCTTGCTTTTGTTCATTTTTGCCAACTAATGAAGGATCTCCCTGCCCTAGTATTTTTTACCTTGACATAAGACTGTCTTCATTCTTAGTTTACAAACTCTGAAGAAATGTAGAGCAATTCTTGTCTTTGTATGTGAGCAAATGTTGCTATTTGATTAGCCTGCATTAATAATTTTCAGATGAGTGTAGAATACGAAGTGCATGGTTCATAGTCATCCTGGTTAATAGGGGGGGGGGGGGCTATTTTTACATTTTAGTCATTTAGCAGATGCTCTTATCCAGAGCGACTTACAGTTAGTGAATGCATACATTTTCATACTGGCCCCCCGTGGGAATCGAACCCACAACCCTGGCGTTGCAAGCGCCACCAACTGAGCTACAGGAGTCCTATGTTGGAGCCCAGTGTGGACAGACAAGTGTATGCATGTGACCTCTGGTACGAGACCAGCCAACTTTCCTCTCTTCAAGTCCACAAGGCATGCTGTGAACAAGGGGAGTGGATGGATGAGGGGGTAGAAGTTGAAAGGGTAGGGGTCAAGAGGGGCTGAGAAATCAATGGAAGGTATTATGTATCAGTGAGTTAAACCTGGTGTTCTTCTGATCTTCTCTGCCAGTCTCCAGCCATGTACCACGTCCAGATGCCTCATATGACGGTGAGCCAGTCCAAGCCCTACAGACCAGGTAAAGGTGAGACTGCTCACTGGCAATGCTGTCTCTGTCCCATGTCTTCCCAGTCTTCATCAATAGCACAGTACAGCAGCCAAACTAACAGCCAAAGCCTGCTTCTTGGTAGGAGTCAGACATGCTGCCCGCACGCATGGAGACAAAGCTGTCTGGCAAACTCATAGTAAAGAGAATAAGACCACCTCATGACTTTGTGCAGTTAATTTGTTTTGTAGTCGTAACAGCTGGCATGCATCGGGTGATGGCAGTGCTTAATGCGTAGAGCATTTGATGGCGTTGTCTAGTCTGCTGGAGAGCCAAACAGCAACTCTGACTTACAGTGCTGCTGTGCTTTTGGAAATCAACATTTCATAAGGTGCATGCCATCATAGATGGATTTAGCACTGTAGACATTTTATTTTAAAAGGCTGCCCACCCAGATATCTCTCCTGTTATTCTGGATCTTATGTTCTGAACGGTTGTTGTTGTTGTATGCCACTGGCTGCTGCAGTACCCAACATGCCCCAGCAGAGGTCAGACCAGCATCACCCCCAGGGCACGCCCACCATGATGCACCCGGCCGCAGGGCCGCCCATCGTGGCCCAGAGCCCTGCCTACTCAGCCCAGTACTTCACCTGCAGCCCACAGCAGTTTACCAGCCAGCAACTGATGCCCCACTACCAGTCACAGGTAACAATCTGTCAAAATAACAACTGTACTCACTTCTATGGACCATGGAAAGAAAACCCTAAAGCTTGGCAGGGCTTGTAGAAGGTATTCCAATACTACTCCAATGAGCGCATGAATGCCTTAAAATCACACATACACACAAGTGCAGGCAGTGAGTGTTCCTTGTCCCCCAGGCCCAGCATGTGTTCAGCCCGGTGATCCAGGGTCAGACCAGGATGATGGCCCCTCCCACCCACGGCCATCCTGGCCAGCTGGTCTCCTCCACCACCCAGTATGGTGAACAGACTCACACCATGTACGGTAAGAGACCCCCCTGTGTGTGTCACACTCGATTGTCAGACCATATTTCTACTCTTCCCACTATCTGGTTGTGTGTCTGTGCCTCATCTCAGCACCCATAACCACATCAGCTACTCTATTTTGGTTCTGGGACCGGTTGTAGAGAGATCTGTAATAGGTTTGCATAGCCACTCTAATTCCATTTAAAAGCATAAATGATGTGCAATAAACGTTAGATTATTTTATTTTGGCAAAGCAAACTGTTCTGTTGTCGGTCTCTGTATATTCTGTCTGGTTCATGACAATAACCCAGTCTTTGTTTTGGGGTTCCAGTGTCACAAGGCCCAATGCCGCAGCAGTACGCCCACCCCAACGCCACCCTGCACCCCCAGCCCTCGGCCACCCCCACAGGCCAGTCCCAGCAGGGCGTGCAGCACAGTGGCAACCACCCGGCCCCCAGCCCGGTCCAGCAGCACCAGGCCCTGCACATGGGCAACCAGCCCCAGCAGCAGATGTACCAGGCCCTGGCCCCGACCCCACCCTCCATGACCCCGGGGCCCAACCCCCAGTCCCCCCAGGGCAGCTTCCCCTCGGCCCAGCAGGCTGTCTACCTCCACCCCCAGCAGATGCAGCACGGCTACAACCCCTCCCACATGGCCCACATGCAGCAGGTGAGCTCCACCTTCAGAAGCCCTTCCCTTCACCCTGAGTACATACTATATGAGCAGGTTAGTGGTCCCAGGAACAAAAACACAAATCACTTTAATGGAATCAGTCAGTAACAGCTGTATGCATCTCTTTCTACTAATGTTCTTTCTTTCTTTCTCTGTCTTGGTCTCTTCCTCCTCAGGCCCATATCCAGTCTGGGATGGTCCCCTCCCACCATGGCAACCCTGGCCACCCTCAGATGATGCTTATGGCCACCCAGCAGCAAGGTGGCCCCCAGCCCCAACTCCCCCAGAACGCCCTCAACCCCATCCCAGTGTCCTCCACTACGCACTTCTCTTACTTGGCACACCCCCAAGGTACGTCCCTACGTCACCCCATCCCTACATGCCTCAGGGGCAGGACTCCTCCAATCACCTGACCGAGGTCTTTACTGCTTGTTTAACTAAACATTACAGTACAAGTCTTAAGTTGGGGCAAACGGGTTGTTCATCGTATCAATGTTTGATTCCATTTTCCCAGCCTTGTTGCTAATTATCAATTTGGCTTAAAACTGAAATGAATGAATGTAATAAGTGCTGACATGCAACTGGATGTAATCAAACCACGACCGGCCAATTTCAATGATTTGCTCCATTTTGTGTTTTGTCCCTGCAGTGCAACAACACCATCAACAGCAGCTGTAGAGGGTGCTGTGGAGAACATGGACCCCTCTACCACCCTCGCTCTCTAAGAGTCTTCACACAAAGAGAAGAAGCCACACAGCTCTCATCATGCTACATGTGCTTTCCTCTCCCAGTCAGAAAGTTCAACAGGTTGTTGCAGTGGACAGAGGTTTTATTGGTTTAGAGTTCTGCTAATAACAGAAAGGACTCCTCACACTTCCCCACACACACCTTAAACACACCTGCAGAGGGTCCCTAAGTGAAACTTGATTCGGCTTGCCAATTAAGATTTGAGAACGTAAAAAAAGAACTGGAACTTGCATTTTGTCTGCACCTTGATATGAAAATTCTTCCAACTTGGACAGTATTAACGTGACTGTTTAATTGCTGCTACTATTGCTGCGTTCAAGACTTCAGAACAGGTTCTAACTAAACTAAAACAAATTAAAATCTTCCTGTAATTAATAACAAGTTTGGCCTAAAGAACAGAAGTATAATTTATGAATTAAGATGGCTAAGGTGATCCCACTTCTCACCTGACCATTATGTAACTTAAGTTAAAATACATTTTACTTTGTAGATAATATAAATTAAAAAAATTAGGAAATAAAAGTTTTAAACTGGGTAACTGTCTGCGTTTATTTTGCTTTCTGTGTAATCACATTTTTTATTTTGTCATTTTGATAACTTTTTGTAAAGTTATGAAATTAGCAGTGAATGCGTTAAATTGGTCCACATGCAAGGTCATCGACAGGATTAGAACCTGTGACCTGGTCCCTATCCCAGTGATTTTAGAGGGCAGTATAATTATGATTGAAATGGTTTGACCATCCAGATCAGTTTACACGTGATGTCTTTTTAGAAAGGGTATCTGCAAGATTAGAACCTGTGACCTTCAGATCTCTAAATGCCTAGGCCACTGCACCTGCAGGGGGGGGAACCACGTTTATTTGCACAGATATAAAGCTCTTCAGTCAACTAATCACATTTAAAATCTGTTGGTTAAGGTTGGAAAACAAACGGCACATTGGGATTTGAACTGACAAGTGGATTGCGACAAGGTTAACACCATCTAACCTACCTCCATATGAGCCTCGTCTTTATTTGACTCAGCTGTATGCTCCACCCCCTGACCTGTCACTAAGCTCTGCCCACTGAGTGGTAAGGCTGAAGCAACCGACTAGACGAAAGTCGTGGCAGGTGGATCTGCAACAGCCGAACACTGTCGTAGTTTTCCAACAGCAAGGCTCAGATCAACATAAGCCATTGTTTTTAAGTGTTTCTTTGTCGAAATAAACGTCTCCAACCCCCATATCACACACAAACTGAAACGTGTGTGTGTGTAGGCTACATAATACAATCAATTGGTAGTCCTCAAATATCACCATTTGTTCATAAATCAAATTTGATTTGCCGAATACAACAGGTGTAGACATTACAGTGAAATGCTTACTTACAAGCCCTTAACCAACAATGCAGTTTAAGAAAAAAATTAAAATAGCAAATAATTAAAGAGCAGTAGTCAAATAAAATAACAGTAGGGAGGTTATATACAGGGGGTACAGAGTCAATGTGCGTGGGCACCGGTTAGTCGAGGTAATATGTACATGTGGGTAGTGTTAAAGTGACTATGCATTGATAATAAACAGAGAGTAGCAGCAGCGTAAAAGAGGGGGTGGGGTGGGGGGACAATGCAAATAGTCTGGGTAGCCATGATTAGCTGTTCAGGAGTCTTATGGCTTGGGGGTAGAAGCTGTTAAGAAGCCTTTTGGACCTAGACTTGGCGCTCCGGTACCACTTGCCGTGCGGTAGCAGAGAGAACAGTCTATGACAAGGGTGGCTGGAGTCTTTGACAATTTTGAGGGCCTTCCTCTGACACCGCCTGGTATAGAGGTCCTGGATGGCAGGAAGCTTGGCCCCAGTGATGTACTGGGCTGTACGCACTACCCTCTGTAGTGCCTTGCGGTCAGAGGCCGAGCAGTTGCCATACCAGGCAGTGATGCAACCAGTCAGGATGCTCTCGATGGTGCAGCTGTAGAACATTTTGAGAAACGTCTTTGGTCATGTTCACGTGTGTCAAAACAAAATCACCTGATTGGTTGACAATAGAACCTCCCAAAATGGAGGCAATGAAGAGCAACTGCAGAAATATGCAGTCGACTGCATGACCTTTGATCACATTGTTTGTGTGAAGTTCATGCAGTCGACATGTAGGTGCAAGTCGGACATTTTATCCATATCAACACCAATGCGTGTTAATTGCAAATGATCGCACGTGCCCATGAGTAACTGGCTCATACGTTAGAATGTGATTAGTCATTTCTTACTTTTAGCTTTAGCAAAAAATTAAGTTAGATACAGTTTTTTTTTCTTTTTTTTTTTTTTTTTTTTTTTTTTTTTTTTTTTTTTTTTTTGTATACGTGCGAACCCCAGCTTGCAAACCCTGCTCTACAACGTCCTGCCGGCCATTCCCTCCCTACCTGACGACGCTGTTGTCGCGCCCATGAGTCTCCCGTGCGCCGGCTGCGACAGAGCTGGATCGAACGTTCATGACACGTAACATGCAGCATGTCTCGACCACGCGCACTCAGGAACTGTACATTGTCATCATACATATGAGAGCTCAAAACAATGTTTCACATCACATTTTCACAGGTCCCTTGTGATTATTCTTGGTTCACCCCCTTACTGACACCCTTTAATGGCCCAGTACTATTTTAACCCCTAGCACCCCCTGTCCACAGATCTGAACGGACTAAACAGGTGAAAGCATTATAGGGCTATGTGGTGGAGCCATAACATTCTGTGTATACAGTACTTACCTAATCATTTCAGGGCACAATGTTAACTTTTGCAAAGGATATTTGTAGATAAACATGAAACCACGAGGGAGGTGTAGAGCTTTTTCACAGTCACAAATGTGTTGCAGGTAGATTTTTTTGGTTAGCTTTATTTTCCAAAAGTAAAATATACAGTTTATATAAATGTAGAATGCTTATAACTGAGGGAAATGTAACAATTGATCAAAGATCAACAGATGGAAAGCTTTGGTGTGGTTTACTTAGCTAATTGGCGAGAATGGAATGTTTACAGTGCCAATACATAAATAGAATCAACAGTATTGAGAAGACATACATTCATCAGTTGAACTAAAATGAACAATGTCAGCCAAGGCGTGGCTGAGGGGCCAAAATGAATGCATGCAAGCAAATGTTCTAATACCTGAGCATAGGAGGTTGGTGGCACTTTAATTGGGGAGGTCGGGCTCGTGGTAATGGCTGGAGTGGCATTGGTGGAATGATATCAAACATGGTTTCTATGTGTTTGATGCCAATCCATTTGCACCGTTCCAGCCATTATGAGCCGTCCTCCCTTTATTAGCCTCCACTGTACCTGAGGTACAAGGTAAAACGAACCTGATACGTGCAGACAGACGGGAGTTGAAGAGTGAGCAACCCAAGTCTGCAGTAATGGAATGCACTCTTAAGCTTGCCATAACACTGATGTAAGTAGTGGTGATCTTCGTTGCTGGACGCCAAGTATGAATTGTTTTGGTGTGTTTCTCCAATATGATGGATTGCAAAGACGATGTACAGGTTAAGCTATAATATAAAGCGTTGTTCAATGTGCCATAAGCTAAATCAATGGAAATATCTCAAGTTATTGCACTAAATTCTAACACATCACGCCCTGAGGTTCAAAGGGGTAAAGCAACAGCCGCTTTCAGGCATCGCACAGTCTCTCTCTCGCTACAGGTCAGAGAGGGACTGATAAGTCAATGATACCGTTTATATCCTTTAGCAGAACAGACGTGTGGGATTGGGGTTTGGGTTTCGTTTAAACTTAAGCGCAGGAGACCAACCGTACTTTGCCACAATTGTCTATCCTTCCCCACCCCCCACCTAAACACTTGACAATATCAGTTTCAATATTGGAAGACACCTGATTAAAAATCATTGTAAAAGTCCTTGATAGATTTTTAGCTGGATTATGCAATGAAAATAAAATCTCCTTTCATGGCAAGTTGATTTCCTGATCATGTATAAGGAAATCAACCTGCCTTTGTACATTTCTTAAATCAGAAAACCCTTCTGTGATAACAAACATTACCATAAATACTGCATGACTTCGAGGTTGATGATGAGTCGATGACTAAAGTTTACCTTCTAAGTTAGTGTTTAGCAAGGGAAAGAAGACATACAGAAAAGTGATGGGTATTGGCATGTTAGAGAAGAATTTTCACAATGTGTTTAATTAATAAACAAAAAATGTACACCAGAACGGTTGCTTACACGGAATGTGGTGTTAAGGCGCCGCGCACACAAGGGTTTTTAGTAAGAAGTGAGTGCTGTCTTTTTCCTGACGTTTTCTTTGGTGAGGTTAGTCTCTTTCTAGAGCTCGATGATTAAGAAGCCATAGAAGACAAACATTCAAATGTAGCATTTGCAAACATTTTACTTGCAAAAAAACAAATGCCTTCAGAAAGGACCAGGATCAGTTATCCTTTACTTCCTACTCCAGCTTTGTCCTGGTAGAGATGGAGAGCATATCATGTTAAGATGAGGGAAGAAGGTAACACTATGAAGGTAAGGACCTTTCTGTTTAACGCTGATAGGAAACTAACATGCTAATCTTTGGCCCTGTACACATTCAGGTTTTACAACTGATGTACAACTCGGGTACAATGGCTTGTGATACAACTGTGATTTCTTTTACACAAGGATTGTGGAGACACTGCACGATGGTTGTGTAAACCTTTTTGGGCAGACAAACTGTCGTATCATCAAAATATCAGTTGTATCAACGACCATTGTGTGAAATGTTTTGTACATCAGCTGTAGAACTTGAGTGTGTATGGGGCCTGAGTCGAGGCTGTGGAGAGGACCACCGACCCTAGACTAGGTTGTGTCTCATGTGTCCCCTCCCAACCCCTTTCTTTAGGGGGTCAACATCTCTTGAGGTTTAGCACCAACGCATACCCCAACAGTGAGCCTCTTCCAAACCTACGTGGAACGTGGAAGGCTCATCTAGGGCTGTGGCGGTCATTACATAAATAACTGCCGGACTCACGGTAATTGACCGTTACACCATCACAATAAATCCATTATTTATTTTAGACAGTTCTAAAGAAACATGATATGAAGAAAATGTAGTCTATTTCAGAAGAACAGAATAGCATACTCTTGAGTTGTCCTTATGTTAGGCCCTGATCAGGCTATGCCATATGGCTGTGGGCTACACTAGTTTATTTAGCAGACAAGATTTGCTTAGAATTCCGTGGCATTACTTTATAGTATGAAGAATACAACTGAACATAGCTGAATAAAATAGAAAGGATATTTTCTCCAAATGATTTCTGAGGGAGTGCGCACATGCGGCTATTCTGTGTTGAGCGGTTCACAAAGAAACAGGTCCTCCTATATGCTTAATTTAGAGTTTTTTTATGCAACTTTAGTTGTGATACAATCATTGGGCTATACAGTGGGGGAAAAAAGTATTAATCAGCCACCAATTGTGCCACTTAAAAAGATGAGAGGCCTGTAATTTTCATCATAGGTACAATTATGACAGACAAAATGAGAAAAAAACTATCCAGAAAATCACATTGTAGGATTTTTAATGAAT